TCCTGGGTTGATATTATCCCATATCTGGAGGGCCTCTGCCTCGTTCTCAATGTGGGTGATCTATACATTCCAGTCCTACTAGGTGCGCAGCTTGGCAATCGACGTCGTCGTTGATAATGAGGGTTCCGGTGAATCAGCCATGGTGTCTTCGTTGAATTCGTCAAACCACTCTTGATGCCCAGGACACGAGCCACTGGGTGTTTCTTCAACCTCTTGAAACTCAGGACTCGGGGATCGGTCGATTGTAAGCTGATCTGATGGGCTCGGGCTTTCTTCTCTTCTTCTGGATGAACGGGTTTGGGCCGGCATAAAGTGATGGTGTGCGGTCCTCGGGTTTTCTTGATACAGCGGATTTTGATCAATCTCAGGTGATTCCGGGAGATATCCAGTAACCAATTGATTCCTTTGATTAATCAAGCAGAGCTAGCCGGGCTCATAACTGTTGGAACCACACACCACACTAGTGCCCAATTGAGAAGATTGATGGAATACCAATCAATAAGTGGATTAATTGAGGTCCGAGGTCTGACCTCTCAAGAAGAGAAAAGAGGGGGGGTGGGTATCCCCAACTCTACATACATATGCCAAGGAATCAGTGGCCCCTGTTATCTCATATGACTTATGTCACATGATGCCAGGGCACCCATGTCCTTCTGTCCAAACAAGCTGCCTGCATGCGGCGGGATCGCTACGCTACATAACGTACCTTACGTTGCGACTTTCGGGGCTTACGCCGCAAGCCGAGGGAAGGCCGATGAAAACACATCGCTTGAGAGCATTGCCAAGCGAAACGTGGTGTGTGGTCAGGTATCACTGATCAAGTACTATGTAGCTGCTGTGATCTCAGCCTCATGTTTGACGACATCTTCCTGCTGCTGCTGCTGCTGCTGCTGCTCCTTGGGACTCGGCTCGTACAGCTCCGAGATGTTGTAGCGCTTCAACCTCTCAAAGTCATTGTCGACCACGCTGATGCCGCATATGTGCTGTAGATGGTTAGTTCATGCAAAGTCTTTTCCACAGCCATATCTTAGCCACTCACTTGATAGATTTCTACAACAATCATCAGTTCGTAGTTTTTCAAATCCACCTTGTGTCCCTCTCCCACGACGTCTGCGACTTGCTTGATCACGCTGTCGCGCGTCAAAACATTGTGATTGCGTATCGTCGGCCGAATTGCAAACTACATGGCAAAAAGAGTCAGCCGCCACAGCCTAGCATTTCGAACACGCTGATCTGTAGCCCATCATGGCCCTGGATCAGACCAGGAGAGCGAGCACACAGAAATACATACCGTACGCGCCCGGAAAGGTTCTTGATGAAAGTGCGGAGCGAGAACTTTCAACGCCACCTGCTCGAGACCCTCGGTGCTGGCTCGACCCATCAATGTCATGGGTGTGAGTCGGAGTGCGAATCGGGTTCGCTTGCGGGTCTTGTTGTTCATGGCATCTGAGCATATCGTCTTGACTAGAGAAACTGGCTCGACTGGGGATGTTGTTTTGAAGAAGATGACTGGTACGGCAATGGTGAGCATACTTGCATTTCTCTCCCATTGTAGATGACAAGCACACTTACCACATTGCACATTCAACTGCACAGGCGTAAACAGCCTCGCAACTTTCGGTTTTCGAATCTCTCGAACTTCGGCCAAAATCTCTTTTTCAATATCGTCATCAACAACAACTTCTTCCCCACCATTTCCATCATCATCCTTGCCATCACCATCACCATCACCATCACCATCATCCTCGCCATCTTCTTTGACAGCAGCACTCCTCGAAGAAGAAGCAGAAGCAGAAGAAGAATAAAGTCTCTCAGCATAATCCTGCAACAAATCCATCACTTCACCCGTACATTTCCCTTCTTTACCTCTATGACACGTGACGAAAATCCCCGTATCACCCGCTTGCACTGTAGAATTCGAATTGAGATTCGTATTCGTATTCGTGTGAGAACCTGGATACTGGGATTTTTCGCCATTGGGTCCGGTTTTGGGTGTTCGCCATTGTTTTTTGGTCTGGGTAAATAGGTCGTGAGTGAGTGGTTAGTGCGGAGGGGAATTGGAGGGGGGGTTTTGTGTTGTCGAGACGGACCTTTTTGGCTCGTTTGTTATTGGAGTTTTCTTCTTCTCCTTCTCCTGTGGGAGCTTCTGCTTTGCGCTTGATGGATGATGAATCGGCCATTGTTGTTGTTGTTGTTGTTGTGGTTGTAGTGTTGCTAGAACTACCGGCCAGCGGGCAAAATCTTTGGCCGAATTGAACCTTTCCTTTCGTTTCTGCTCTTGGCGGTCTGACATTCATTCTCTCTACTACCTGTAACTTACAAGAATATACACCCCTCTCACATTCCCAAACCAGCCTGAATAACCACCTTCCATCCCATATCCTTCTTCTTCTTCTTCTTGACGAAAAGAGAAAATAGAAAAAAGAAAAAAAAAGGAGAAAATGTCCACCCCCTCCTCCTTTCTCTACCCCTCCCCCTCCCCCTCCGCCCTCCAACTCCACTACATTGGCAAATCCCTCTCAGAAATCCAACCTCCCGCTGCAATTCTCGATTTGGCCGTCATTCGTCGTAATTGTCAACACATGTTGGAAACGACGAAAAAATTGCAAGTGGGATTTCGGGCACATGTGAAGACACATAAGGTATTTTATCTTTTCTTTGTACCCTATTTCAAACATATATTTGCTGAGAATGATGGTGATGGTCATGGTTGATTTACCCAGACAATCGAACTCTCCCGCTATCAAGTCGGACTCAACAGCAACTCTCTCAAATTCGTCGCTTCTACCATTTCGGAAATCGAGGGTTTACTTCCTTGGTTATTGGAAGAAAATCGAAATCGAAAAGAAGAAGAAGAAGAAGAAATTTCCATCCTCTACGGTCTGCCTTTTACACCTTCTTCTCTACCTCGACTTGCGCAAATTGCTCGATTGTTTGATTCTTCTTCTTCTTCTTCTTCTTCTTCTTCTTCTTCTTCTTCAAGAAAAACAACAAAAAATCCATCAAGTGTCATAGGCCTCTTCGTCGATTCGCCAGAACATATTCAATGTTTAATTTCTTTTCTCGAAAACAACAACCACACCAACGAAAATTCAACCGAAAAAGAAAAAGAAATCTGGCCCCTCCCCATCCCCCTCTACATCCCCATCGACGTCGGAGATCATCGAGAAGGCATTTCTCCGCACCATTCGTCGACACAACTTGTTCGAATTGCTGCGATTTTACACAAATACACTACAAAAACAAAACACGCGTCGAATAATACAAATACAACAAACAAAATCAAGTTAGCAGGCTTCTATACCCATCGAGGAGGCAGTTATTCTGCTTCGAATCCTCAAGAGGCTTTAGGGTTCATGAAGGAAGAATTGGTGGGGTTATACGAGGGTGCGAAGGTGTTTTTGGGGGAGATGGAAAGGATGAAGACCGGGGGACAGGAGGAGGAGGAGCAGGGAGGAGGAAAAGAGGGAAGAGAAGAGGGAAGAGAAAAAGAAGAAAGAAAAATGGTACTTTCACTCGGAGCGACTCCTACTGCGACGGCGATTCAGAATCTCGTGTGGGAGGAGGAGGAGGGGAATGAGACTACAGAGGCAGTGAGGAAATATCGGGATATTCTAAAACAGGTGCAGGAGAATTTCGAGGTGGAATTTCATGCTGGTGTCTATCCAGGTATGTCTTGTCTTTTCTTCTTTTTATTTTTTTATTTTCTTATCGTACATCATCTCGAGGATTCACTACTGACACACGACGACACACACACAATAGTCATGGATATGCAACAGCTCGCGACCCGGGCACGACCGCATCAGAGCCCCATCTCGGGCCAGAGTCTGCTGTCATTTTCCGATCTGGGCTTTCGCATACTCGTCGAAGTGGCGAGTTTGTACTTTGATCGGGGCGAGAAGCCCGAGGCGCTGATCGCGGCAGGTGGCATCGTGTTCGGCCGAGAGCCATGTAAGAGCTACCCTGGCTGGGGTGTCGTGACACCCTGGCCAGCGACTTCGGGACAAGTGTATGATCCAGAAGGCGACCGGACCGGCTGGATTGTCGGAAGAATCTCCCAAGAACACGGCAATCTGACTTGGGAGGGTTCGCAGGACCAGTTCCGCAAGCTGGAGCTGGGAGAGAAGTTGCTGGTCTGGCCCAACCACGCGTGTATTGCTGGTGTCAACTTTGGATGCTATCTGGTTGTTGACTCGGACCAAGCTGATCCAGATCGCATCCAAGACGTGTGGGTGCGATGGCGCGGATGGTAGTGGTGTTGTTGTTGTTGTTCAGCGTATGCCGAATCTCTTTTCATCGTCAACACAGTGAGTGCCTAGGTAGGCATTGTTCCGGGACAGTCGTGGTTATTCTGCGCGTTGTGCTGCAGAGTTGAGCTCGGCAGTCAGTTGGGCGCCGAGACTCGCCTCGCTATGCTTCTCATCATCCTCCTCGTCGACGTTGTTGTGGTCTTCATCTTGATGGTCTTCGTCTTCATCAACAACATCAATTCCATTCATTTCCGCCAGCTTAATCAGGATGTGACGTTGCGCTTCCAGCTTCTTCTCCAGCCTCGCCTCGGCAGCTTCCCGTTCCTTGCGACTTTCATGGTGAAAGGTGGCGCTGCTGGACCGCCACTTCTCCTCGCGGGCGTGCACTTTATCGGCACTGGTCTTCCGGCAGTGTTCCAGCCACGGGATGAGTTTCGAGATGTTGGAGAGTTCGGTCATGTTGGTGGCACAGGCGGAGTTGATGCTGAGGCCAATCACATCCTGCATGGTGTCGAGTTTCTTCTCTACGTGGTCCAGATCCGCCTTTTGCGCTTTGCCAATGGCATTGATGGAATCAAAGAGCCATCCGCCTTGTCTCGTCCATTCGTCGTGCCAGGTCTTCATGAAGGTATGGAGGTCGTCGAGGCGCTGCGGCACGGTAGACAGGGCAGATGTACTGGCACTGCCATCTCCCGTGGAGGGTTGGTCTGTCCTGGCTCGCTTGGTCGGTCTGGGGTCGGCATGGTCGCGGGGCCTGCTCGTGGATGCTGCTCCTGCTGATCGAGAGCTTCCGGCGTCAGTGGGGGCGGGGAGGGGCGCGGATGGAGGATTGGTCGTCGTCGTTGCGGCGAATGAGTCGGGGTCGAAGTGGGAGTCGGTCACGTCGACGGTATAGACGTAGGATTTCGGGGGACGAGATAGGACATTGAAGTTGATGGTGGCCACGATCTGCACCGGATGGCCCTCCAATTGTTGCAGGTCCTGGTGGAGGGCAGTGAGGGCGCTGCGGAGGTTGTTGCGGCGGTCAATGGTGGCATTCAGTAGCTTCCTGTCGCCGGTGAAGTGATGCTCGACGGTTAGGGCCGCCATGCACTGGATGCAGTGGTGTGTTCGGTGGTGTTCGTGTCAATGCGAATGATGAATACGACACGGCACGACACGACACGTCGAGCACGGACGCTACACGACACGGGACGAGTATCTCCGTGCACGCGGCAGTCTCGTGACTTGATGGCCAAGCTTTTTGAGGCTGCGACTCTGAAACAGTAGGCTGGGTCGAGCTAGGCTGTATCGGGGCAAGCGCGAAAAATGAAATGGCGCAGGGCCAGAGACGTTGTGATGGGGTGGATAGTGGGAGACGAGAGGTGTGTGTGTTTGTGTGTGTGTGTGTGTGTGTGCGTGTGTGTGTGATTGGTGATTGAGTGAGCATACCTCCTAGGAGGTATGAGTAAGGTCTTGTGGAGGAGGCAGCCAATAATAGAAGCAGAATGGCTTTCTGCCATCCCTACCAACCACTGGTCCACTGCCTCAGGTATCTCTTGTTGGTATGTTATTACAGTTATTTGCAGAGCAAACCTACTAGGTGCCTACCCTACCGGAGTCTAGAGGTCGGTAAGGGCCACAGGAACATTCGGGAAGCAGGGATCCATGGTGTATTTTTTTTCTTCAAGCTTCTCATCTCACCTTAGTCATGCACCAGCACAACCGGGCAGCTCCCACCTCACTAGACTCGTCTAGTCCACTACTGTAGACCACAGCCACGAGCCACCCATGCTGCATGGCATGGCATATTGGAGGTGGCAAGTGGCATGTTGCTACGGTAATTCTCCCTCCTACTTGTTGACCTACCTCTCCATGGGTGCTGATGCTCGTGCTGGTGCTGGTGCTGGTGCCGGTGCCGATGCTGGGAGCCGTAAGCTGGGCTGGAAGCTAGAGGTCATGTAGGAGTGGTGTTTGTGGTTCATCATCTCACTAGAGCTAAGGTATGTCCCTACCTCCTACTACCTCCTACCCAGGTACCTCCTAGTACTGTCCACGACCACGTCGTCGATGAGGTGAGCTGAGGCGCGGCGGAGGTGAGAGGTGAGAGCGAGAGGTTGAGAGGTCCACTGATGAGTCTGTCTCTCTTCTGATGACTACTACCTAGTACTGACCTACCTCCTACACTGTACGACGACCACCGTACTACCTGACCCTCTCCCCTCTCTCACTACCTACCTCCTACCCACTACCTCCTGGCTCCTCTCCCCCATTGACTTTCCCATCATCTCCCCATCACCGCTCTATCGCCATCACCATCCCCCCTGCGTCCGTGCAGTGCCTATGCATACACATCATGCAGCAGCAGAAGCAAAATCATCATCATCATCATCGGCTCCGAGGGTAGCATCCCATCCACTACCATCTCATCCCCCCTCCTCTGCATCCATTATTGGCTCTTTGCTATAGTGATCCTATCCAACGGCTCTGCAGCTTCATGTACCAGAATACGACTGCTACTACTACCACTACTACCACTGCCACCACCACCACCACCACCACCACCATCACCACTACTCCCACTACCGACCTAGCCATCTAGCTGCAACGGCCGGGGCCTCACTTGGTCCGGCACCTTCGCCGATGAAACGCGACCCCAAGTCAGCGCCCGCAGCACGCATACGCGACTCCACTCCCTCCTGCCGTCGAGTAAGCCATCCTGGCTGTGGCGGGGAGATGGCCGCTCACTACCACCAAGTCAGTGTCACCGATGGTGTCAATGAGAGGTGCTCGGAGCAACACGAGTTTCGTCAATTGTCCTCCCGGCCCCGGGGAGACGACGACGAGCAAAAAGAGAATGCTTGGGATGACGACCTCGACATGGCTCCTCCTGTCCACCCCATCCCCCAGATGCAAGCTGCATTTGAGGAGTCTATAAGGGACGCTATTGCTCCCATCGACCACCGCGACGCCGACGCCGACGCCGACCACGACCACGACGAGGCTTCTGGCACGCCTGCTGCAATGAGACGACGGAGACTGCTCGAGGCGGAGCACGATGGCGCTGCTGCTGCTGCTGTCACTCGATGGAAGCAGAAACCCGGTGCCAAACACCACCCTTTTGTCAAGCTGATGGCACAAGTCGTCTTTGGCATGCACCTGTTGAAGGAAGGCCAGGCCAAATCGAACGAGGAGGTCGTTCTCATCCTGCAGGGCCACATCGACGATGTTGACTGCTTCCTCGAACGCACCGCTGCAGACTTTGATCTGGCCATCAAGGATATCGAAGAGCGCATCCGATATCTCAAGCTGCCCATGCAGCACATGGACGTCTTCGACACCATGCTGGACGACAAGAAGTTCCGCACCGAGCTGCTCAATGGCAACGAGAAGATTGAGAAGATCATTGAGCGCACTGCACACGCCATGAATGCCGCCATGCATGACATCCACATGGGCATCCGATCCACCAAAGAGCTCAACACCTACCTCACACGCATTGAGCGTCGCTGGTCTCCCGAGAATCGCAACATTGCAGAGGTCTTTGCTGCCATGCGTGGCAATGAACAGGGGTGGATGACCTATCTCCGTGACTTGCGCACCAAGGGCGATAATCTGCGAAACAACTTGGTCGTCCTCGAGACCGTCATTGGCGAAATTGCAAGGCACGCCGCTGCAGCGAGCCGACGGAACAAGTTTCAGGGCAGACAGGTGTCCGGAGGTCCTCCAGGCAGTGTGCAGAATGGCAAGTCCCCGCCCCCTCGCTCGAAGTATACCAGAGACACCCCTTCGCCATACCATTACAAGCCTCCCGGCGCATGGCTCGACAAACCCTTGCCCCAGGAACCCAACGCCGTCGCTAACGTCAAACAGGCGGCCGTAGCGAAGCCGCACCCCGTGTCTCTGGACTCTAGGTTTGAGCAGCCTCGAGGAGCGGTAACAGCTCCGCAGAGGCGGGAGTCGGTGAAGCCGACGGCGTCTTTGGACACATCGGAAGCGAGAGGCGCTTCATCTACGCGAGAGCCCCCCATTGGAGACGCTCCCGAGGGTACTAGTAGTAGTACACAGGAGCTTTCCAATTTCCTTCGCAATTCCGGTGGCCTGCGAAGCCATCCCCCGGACGTCGTTCGGGATGGCAGGACAGCATCTCACCATCCCGCGCGATCGCACAGCCAAGGAGGTGCCTTTCCGCCCAGCTCCCTCGACAAGCACTTCCGCAGGTCCCGGAGTCAAAACACCGTCGCCATGTCCGAACCACGAGCACCATCACGAACGGAGTCACGAACAGAGCCACTATCACAATCGCGATGGGCGCGACCAGAGAGTAAACAATCACATCCATCGCGCACGCAGAGTCGCGATGACGGCTCCATCACGTCTATGCTCAAGTACCAGATGCCTTTGACGCGCGACGCTTTCTCGCGCCACATTTCGAAGAGACTGAAGAACATACCCACCCCACTATCAAGCAGAAGTCAGCGTCAATCAAGCGCCCCCGCACCCAGTACCGTCTTCCGATCGACTACGAACACAGCCCGCCATTCTCCTACGCGTCACCAGAAGCATATGCATCATCAAAGCGAGGACATCCACGATCATGGGAACGAGGAACGCATGAAACATGGCACGGACAGGCGTAGATCTGCGAAGCCGGAGAGAATGGTGGTGGAGGAGGAAGAAGAAGAAGAGGAGGAGGAAGAAGAGCAAGAGGAAGAGGAAGAGGAAGCGGATAATGAAGCAGAAGAAGAAGATGAAGAAGAAGTAAAAGAAGCTCCTCTGCGAAGCGAAAGCAGAGCTGGCGGTCATTCGCTCTTTCCACCCAATGTCGACAGGCCTTTGACCCCTCTGCAGGCGGTGGCTCGAAATAACAGTCACGGTAGTGCCGACGGCAAGGGTTTCATCTCGTCGTCTTCCGACAGCTCGCCTCAGACTCAGCACACCAGAACCACGACGGTCACAACCGCAACGACCAGCAATTCCTCTAATTTTGTCAAAACGAATCGAATCGTTGGGCTGAGTAGAAAGCTTTTCGGTAGCAGTGGTGGTGGTAGTGGTCATCATCATCAGCAGCAGCAGCATCATTTTTATGATCGGAGAGGGCCTGTCAATGGAAGGGGAAATATTATGGTTGCTTGATTGATTGATTGGTTGACGACTGTAAGATTTGATGTATACGGACATCACTTTCTTTTTTTTGTTCAGTGACCTCGTTGTTCACGGTTGCTGCCCACGCTTCTGATTTTTCTTTTTTTTTTCTCTTTCATCATCCTCGACCATGTGTATAGGTCTTTTCGAGGTCGGCACATGGCTAGATGTCGGTAAAAGTTAGTTTCTGAGGAATGGGGTGGTGCCTTACATAGTCTAGAACTCACCAAGAAGTAAGAGCTAAGAGAGCTAGTTTGGTGTATATACATACAGTACTAGGTACATGTAGCTTAAATGACATGCTCAAATATAGATGAGAAGGCGTAGGGAACAATGTTACCTCCTACGCGACCTACTTTCTAGAGTATATGTAAGGTACCTGAGGTAGCTTTTCATATCATATTCTCCTACCTGGCCCGTTCCGGTCAGTATTAATAGAGCGGTGCCTTGGCTATACATTCAACGTTACGATATTTGAGAAAGGAGATGTATCGGTGTCCGTCGGGAGTAATAATAAGCGATTTTAATGATAAAAGTGAAGGATACACATACCTTACTTGGATTACATGGATACCTATGACTATGATGATTCGAGCGGGCTCATCCATGCATTAAAAGTGCGAGAAGGTGTGGAAGCAAAGGACCAAGGTCAGGTATGTAGGAGGTAAGCTGGCGCTGGTACGGTATATGGGACAGTGGACAGGTGTTGTTTAGCTAATCGGGACCCTGGTTCCAACTGGGAGCTTATTGCATTGAGGCCACGATCATCTTTCGACAGCGCTTCGCCCCTCTTGCTACAGCTGCCCTCGACCATATATCTTGTCGACCATCTCACTCGCTCTTCTGAATCCTTCTCTCAGTCATCACTCACCACTTTTCCTTCTTGGACACTCTCTTCCTTCCCTCCTCCGTCTCCTCCTCCCCCTTCAACTCTGATTGAGTGCCATCCATCATGAGATACTCATTGGGACTGCTCGGCCTGGCTGCCGCTGCTGCTGCTTCTGATGTTCATGAGTTGACCCAGGACACCTTCAAAGACTTCATGACATGTGCGTACCACCACCACCACCACCACCACCACCATAACCTCCTCCTTGAACGGCAGCGAGAGAGCGGGAGAAAGAGAGGGAGAAAGAGAGCAGAAGAGGCACAGGAGAAGAGCAGGCAACAACTGACGATGATACTCCAGCAAATGACCTCGTTCTCGCAGAGTTCTTCGCCCCGTGGTGCGGGCACTGCAAGGCTCTGGCGCCTATATATGAAGAGGCGGCAACGACACTCGCGGAAAAATCGATCAAGCTCGCCAAGGTCGACTGTACCGAGCATGCTGACCTGTGCAAGGAGCATGGCGTCGAGGGATACCCGACCATGAAGGTCTTCAGAGGCACCGAAAACGTGTCTCCTTACACCGGTGCTCGTAGTCTGCAGGGCATTGTCTCATTTATGACCAAGCAGCAACTGCCTGCCGTCTCCCTTCTCACTACTCAAGCCGCTCTCGACGAGTTCAAGACGGCCGACAAGGTCGTCCTCGTCGGCTACTTTGCCGCAGATGACAAGACTTCCAACGCCACCTTCACCGAGCTCGCTGAGGACCTGCGCGACGACTATCTGTTCGCTGCCACCAACGATGCCGCTCTGGCCAAGGCCGAGGGCGTCGAGCTGCCTGCCGTCATCCTGTACAAGAGCTTTGACGAGGGCAAGAACACATACACCGAAGCCCTGGACAAGGATGCTCTGATCACTTTCGCAAAGACCTCTGCCACTCCGTTGATCGGAGAGGTCGGCCCCGAGACCTACTCGGACTACATGGCTGTATGTATTATTCCACACACGCACACCCAACAGCAGTGCTGCTCTGGGATGTGTCAAACGCGCGCGCGCGCTAACATGTCGCTTTCACCATACTAGTCCGGACTTCCTCTCGCCTACATCTTTTCCGAATCGGAGGAGGAGCGCGAATCGCTTGGAAACGACCTCAAGACGGTTGCAGAGAAGTACAAGGGCAAGATCAACTTCGCCACCATCGACGCTAAGGCTTATGGCCAACACGCGTCCAACCTCAACCTCGAGCCGGGCACGTGGCCGGCTTTCGCCATTCACGTCATGGACCAGAACCTGAAGTTCCCGTACGCCGAAGCTGGTGATGTCAAGAAGCTGTCTGCGAAGCTTATCGGCAAGTTCGTCGAGGACTACGCCGCGGGCAAGTTGGAGCCCAGCATCAAGAGCGAGCCCATTCCCGAGAAGCAGGACGGACCGGTCACCATCGTGGTGGCGAAGAACTACGAGGAGATTGTCATGGACAAGGACAAGGATGTCCTCATCGAGTTCTACGCTCCCTGGTGCGGACACTGCAAAAATCTTGCACCCAAGTACGACGAGCTTGGCGGTCTCTTCAAGTCTCACGCCGACCAGGTCGTCATCGCTAAGGTGGATGCGACGGCGAACGATTGTCCCCAAGACGTTCGAGGCTTCCCTACCATCATGCTGTTCAAGGCGGGCGATAAGAGCGAGCCGATGGAGTACAACGGTGATCGCACGGTCGAGGGCATGGCCGAGTTCATTCGCGACAACGGCTCGCACAAGGTTGATGTATCGGAGGCCATTGCCGCCGCCGCCGCCGCTGCCGCTGAGACCGAGTCTGTGGAGACGGAAGGCATGCCACAACAAGCCGCCGCTGCCACTGAGGAGGCAGCGGATACGGTCAAGGAGAAGGTGGTGGAGAAGGTCAAGGAGGCCGGTGAGGCCGTCAAGCAGGTGGTCCTCGACGACGACGAGGTTGCCGACCACGATGAGCTCTAGATGATGATTCTATGATGCATATGTTTGTTGTAAAGTAACTTTTGCAGGTGTGGAAAGATGAAGAAAGAGACTGAAGTGGCTTTGTTGTAGTTGGTACCAACGAGCTCTGTCGTTCTTTTTTCTTCTTTCCATTTTGGCCGCGAACAAGATTGTCATGTCTGGTGATGTACTCTAGAAGTTTGGTTTTTCTGGATGGCGTCTTGCTCACTACCTACTCCACCTAAGGTACATATAGGTACATGTATTGGTCATCTTATCGTTTATTATCGTCTACATGTCAACTGCTATAGCTTCTAAGCGAGGTCGAGGTCGAGGCAGAAACGCAGAGTATACTTTTCGCCTACCTCCTAGGCCAGCTGGTTGGCCGATTTTCATAGGTCTAGAACTGCATTGCCTAAGATAGTTACAGTAAGTACATACGGGCGGGTAAACGCCCGCCCGCTCGCTCGCTCGCTGTCGTGCTTGCAGCTCTATTTTGCGTGTTTTTTCTCTCTCTCTCTCTCTCTCTGCACGGGCACGCCGCACAGCTTGACGGCAGAGAGGGGGCGAGGACACTTTGAAGAGGATGGAGGCTTGATGATGATGATCTTGATGATGATGATGATGATCTTGGTGCTTGATTGACTGAGATGGATGGAATGAAGAATGAAAGGATATTCTGTACCTACCTACCTACGAGAACTAAGGTAGTAGTATCTCCTAGGAAGAGAGGTAGTGAGGGAGAGTGAGGGGGGTACCTTAAAGCATACCTTACAGTACCTTTATATTGGAAACACAGCGCAAAGCAGACCAGAGAGACCCTCCCATCCATCCATCTTTTCGGCCGGTCGCGCGAAACCTCTCTCGACTTCACCCGGCTCCCCGAACGTTTTTACTACCCGATCAACCACCACCACCCATACTATTACGGACAGGGTTATTCATTCACTTGAATTCACTCCACGCTGGCTGCTGACTACTGCTACGGGGGCCCGAAGAGTAAGGTACTATGGCGCCAGCAGCAGCAGCAGCATCGGCGGCTGCGGGCGATGCAAAACCCACGTCGGCGTCTACACCACCCGCGTCTACGCCCACGCCTACGCCTACGCAGCGCAAAGTGACTCGTTCGAGACTTGGATGTGAGACGTGTCGAGCGAGGAAAGTTCGATGTGATGAGCGGCCGGGGAAATGTGAGTGGAATTTTTTCTTGATTTTTTGGGTGGTTTGTTTTTTTGATTTCTTTTTTTCTTTTTGGGATTGATTGATTGACAGCGTTGGGATGCTTGGCATATCGGCCTTTTTCTTTTTTCTTTTTCTTTTTTCTTTGCTTTTTCTATGCTGGCTCTGATTCTGCTTCTCTTTGCTCCTGCTCCTGCTCTGGGTTCTGATACATGTCTTTTTGTGTGACCTAGGTTTCAATTGCGAGCGTTTGGGGCTGATTTGTGCTTCTGCTTCTGCTTCGTCCAAGTCTGGCCGCAGTGGTGGTGAACATGATGATGGGAATTCGCCACCATCAACAGCAGTAGCAGTGGAACTCGGGAAAACTTCTTCTTCTTCTTCGAGAACGATTCATGCTGCTGCTGCTGCTCTTTCCACTGGAACTCCAGCGGGAGCGACAGCTGGCCTGAAACGCAAACGGACATATCGTTCGTGCAGCCATTGTCGGGCTTCCAAGACGAGATGCTCGGGTCATAAACCCATCTGCGTACGCTGTCGGGAGAAGTCGCTAAAATGCAGATATGAAGATGAATCCGAGCCGGCGTGGAAGCGGAGGGTTTCTGCTACTGTCGTGGCGACTGAACATCCGACCCCGTCTTCGGACTCTGCTCGAACCGACTCGAATCTGAGCCCGCAAAGCCTCAATAGTCCTATCAAGAGGGCGGATGCTACCCCCGTTGCCAGTCTTGGTTTGGGCTCACCCGGTACGTCGCCCCCGGTCAAGTGAACGGGCTGTCGGCATGGAGTGGAGGTCCATCTGAAGCTAAGCTAATGTACCACAGTGATATCAGTGCATGCCTTGAGCGCATCTGTGGGCGATGATTTGCGTTGGCTAGTGGCCCCAAAACTCCCTGATCGCCACAAGACCAGACTGCTCGTCGAGCGGTATTTTGCGAATGTGCACCACTTGCGGTGTTTTGCATTCTTGCATAAGCCTTCGTTCCTCCAGAAACTCGACAGTGATGGGGAGAAGATGCACGAAGGTCATGCGTTACTCCATATTGTCTGCGCATTGGGCGCACTCTTCTACGCCGTGGAGTGTGAAACGTCGCGCAATATCAGGCTGCCCATCAACCCCCTTGACTCGGGAAAGCATTGGGCGAGCCATGCTCAGAACTTGATCCTCGCTCGACTGAACAAGATCTCGGTCGAGAACCTCATGGCAGCTATCCTCTTGCACGACTACGAGATTCGTATGGGCAATTACTCGAATGCGTTCATGCTGAGCGCCATCACTGCTCGCATGGCACAAGCCTTGCAGATCAATCTCGAACACTCGACTGATGTATTGTGCCGGGCACCAGGGGGCGGGCCTTCTGCCAGCGTCAAAGAATCGCGTCGACGACTCATGTGGGCCTGCTACATCACCGACGTGTTGGTGGGAAGCGGAATCGACCAGCTGGACTTGATCGATGAAGCCGATATCAAGGTCCAGCTGCCGTGCAACGAGCGCAACTTCGTGCTCGAGGAGCCCTGCATCACGGAGACGCTGGAAGAAGGCCAAATGCTGAAATTCTTGCCTCCAGAGTTGCTGCCGACGTATCCCCAGGACTGTATGGGCATGACTGCCTTCTACCTGCGTCACATTGCGACTCGTCGGAAAGTGCTCAAGTATCTCAAGCATCTCGACAGCGCAAAGCCGCCGTGGCATCCAGACTCCGAGTTTGCACAGCTGGACGCCGAGCTGAGGCATTGGTACAACACTCTGCCTGCAAACCTGCAGTTCACCCCGACCACGCTGTACATCCGCCAGGAGACATCTCAAGTCGGTGCCTTGTGCGCTTTGCACTACGCCTACCATCAGACCATGTGTGATTTGTATCGCGTAGGCACCCCGGGACTGTACAAACTGCGCTCCGGCTTCTCCTATGGTCCCGAACAGCAAGGCTTCCATCGTCACCTGCAGAGCACCCTGTTTGGACATGCGAGAAGTCTGGCGACGATCATGGCAGAAGCACTGCGCCACGTCCCCCATGCCATTGCCGATTCATGGCTGCCGACAATTCTCTATGATTCGTGCAAGATCATGCTATTCTACCTGACCCAGATCATCGACCCGAGCGCGGAGAGCAGTAAAGCGCTGATGGCCGAGACGATCCCACACTTGCGGAACAACGTGAAAGCATTGAAGATCATGCGCTCCATGTATGCCGCTGCTACGCCTCTCTCGGAAGCAGCGGAGACGATGGTAGGGAAGATCGGCATTGAGCTGGACAGCCAATCGAGAAATCCCGACTTCATCCAAGACGACCCGTACTCGAATAACGAGAACGAAGAGCAGGACCATGCTGCTTCCACTCCAGGCACGCCTGCGCAGAGTGCTCCTGACTACGTGCTCAATCCACTATCAATCTATCGCCTGGCGCGCAAGTCCATCCCCGAGAAGCACGCACCCGAGAAGCAGCCGCATAGCACTTCCGCTCCGCCTCCTGCTGTGTCTAGCGCGATGGCAACGATACCACTTTCTCGACGACAGTATCCCATGCCGACAACCATGTCCGACGAGTCACAGATTGACCCGGGCCTCCGATCCAACGCCATGCCCATTGTGGATCAGATCAATTTCGAGGAACTACAGTCGTTGTTCTCCAGTGATCCCACTGGCTGGACATGGCAACCTGCGGAGACTGCTGTGGGTTCGAGGAACGCATCCGGCAGTCTACCACCTTGGGAATCGCAGGCACTGGAAGTGGGACTGGACGCTTGGCTACCGACCTTCCTGCCTGAGCATTGAAGCCTGCGAGGAGTGAATTTAGCTTCAAGATTCCAAGTGCCAAATAGGTAGGCAGGCCGCGGAGAAGATTTCTGGGACTGGTATGACTCCCTATGAGGCGAGATGGATGGATCGCCGCTCCAGAAGCCTGTGTGCACCTCGAACGCGCAAGCATCTTTCTGACTCTTACGACTGTCCAGAGGAGTATACTGTCGTGTCGGTTGATTAATGATTCACCACTGTTGCTACCGTCTCCAAGACGATCGGGCTGCTCACGGATGGTAGACAGTTCACGATACGAAGCAGTGACTGTACCTAGTAGCCCGTCTCGAATACGTCTACAGGGCCTTCAATCAATCGACTATGTATGGACGATTGAGCGCCGCTTCGATGGTCCCCTCTGCGATACTTCTCAGCCGGCAGTCCGATCCACAAAATAAATATAGATCAGCTGCCATATCCTCGCCTGCAACCTTTTGTCGTGCGTAATCAACTAGGCGGCGTTGGAAAACTTCACTGTCCGAATCGTCCGGGAGATCATGGCGCGCGTACATTCTGATCTGCGCACCTATCCGCACACGATGTGAGTCGATTATTGTCATCACATGTTCCTAATATTCTACATGTAGGTATGGCTTGGAGGTGGCAATGGAGAGAGAGTGGATGCTTGGCATGACAGACTTCTCCCGGATGATCCCTTATGGCCTATGTTCCATGGTAACTCACACCTGATCCATATAGCTCTTCATCTGCTGCATTCGACTACCTCCGAGCCTTTTCCACCTAATTGGCTTTTTTTATAGCTTCGTCGATGGATGACCAGGCCAAAGGTGATATTGCTTCACCACTTGAAAATGGTACGACTTTTGATTTTGCTGTCCATGGCCATTGCCCCCTATCATACTCTGGTAGTAACAACTGGTAGCTCTTAGCCGTAGTTTCCGGGATCATTCATGCTCGAATGATCTGGGGCGGTCAGGTGTCTGAGCAACCCGCATCTAGCCCACTGTAGGGACAGACTTTCCCTTCCAAAAGTACCTGGCTAGGAGAAATATATAAGTGCTTCGAGCTGCCCCCATCTGGATTTTCCCCGTCAGTGCATACACCTCACTTCCTTCCAAGGTCAACACCAGCGTCTCTCTATCCAGCATCTCGCCCTCAACCGATCATCCTCAGCTTCGAACGCATCCTGTCAGCACTGAACCAGGCTCAATCTATACCAGGGAATTCGCTACCCGAAGCCTATCCATACAATCCTGACTGTCGCTCGCTATTACGTCCATCATTCGTTGGTCGAATTTGAAGTCGAAAACGTCACCCAAAGACCTTACTCTCAACATTATCACTTCGGCATCTTTCAGAGCCTCAATCTTCACTTCAACATGCAACGAGCATCGGGACAAAGCAACATCCCGCCATGGAGGCGCCAATCTAGGCACAGGCACAGCCCTCGTCCGCAGCATGGGGCGACCGAAAACCTCCCATTCAGCAACACCAATGGCAATCATGTACACGAGCAGATTTCTCCTCCTATTGCTACGGGACTCATGATGGACCCCATGAGTTCGCACCAGTATCATGCTAACCTTCAACAGTATGACCCCCGTGTCTACCAATCTGGGCACGAATATACCCATGCGTACCCAGCCCATCAGCATGTGATGCTCTCTGCTCCTGCTCAGGCGGCCATCCCTGTGTCATGGCAACCAGGTGCGCTCTACGCAGTGGCTCCAGTGGCCCATGCTATGCAGCACCACATGGGTTACAACTTCATGGAAGGTGGAGTTCCGTTGCCGAGGTCTAGCCTTCCGCCCACACAGCACGCTCGGGAATACTCCCAGCAACTCACTCGACGAGGGCCACCGCAGAAGCCCAAACGAACGGGATACGCTTGCTGGGTGGGCAATATTCCCGTCACGGCCAACATCTGGATGTTGAAAGATCACTTCTCGCGAGGTGCAACAGATGATATCATGAGCGTCTTTCTGATGACTTCCCGCAACTGCGCCTTTGTCAACTATCTCACCGAGGAAGCCTGCTCCAGCGCCATCTCTCGCTTCAATCAGGTGCCGTTGGGTGGGAATGGTGCCCGTCTGCTCTGTCGCATGAAGAGAACAGAGCCGGAAGAAGGCCATGCCGGGCCCAGTCGAAGAGACTCCCGGTCCTCATCGGTGCCGTCGCAGCACGGCGGTAGTCCCCCCGAGATCACGCCAGAGGGCTCAATGCTCGAAACGAACGGCGTCCTGCACCACTCGCGAGCACCATCCAGCTCGGCAACCGTCGTTCCAGAGAACCACGCGCCGCCACAAGAGGGCCCCGCGCCACCGCCAGAGAGCCCCCCGTCTCCGCAAGGGGACCAGGCGTCGCCGCAAGAGGCCCCGGCGCCGAGGCCAAAAGGTAAGGCGCGGGTGCAAGAGAATCCCTTTTTTCTGCAAGACGCCCGGGCGCTGGCGCAAAACGGCCAGGCGCTGGCGCAAGAGGGCCCGGCGTCGCCGCAAGAGGGCCCGGCGCCGAGGCCAAAAGGCAAGGGGCGGGCGCAAGAGAGTCCCTCTTCTCTGCAAGACGAACCATCTCCGCAAGAGGGCCACCCGCCACACCAAGAGGGCAACCCTCCGCCACAAGAGGGCCAGCCAGCACCGCAAGAGGGACAGCGAGCACCGCAAGTGATTCAACCACCGCCTCAGAAGAGCCTCCAGCCGCCCCAAGTGACCCCCTCGCCACCCAAAGAACGATACTTCGTGCTCAAAAGCTGCACGAAGCAAGACTTGGACGAAAGCTACGAAAACTCCACCTGGATCACCCAACCGCACGTCCAAGCCACCTTGGACGAAGCTTTCCGCTCCACCACCGACGTCTACCTCATTTTCTCCGTCAACCGCAGCCGAGAATACTACGGCTACGCCAAAATGACCTCCTCCCCCTTGGACACCACCACCACCAACGGCACCTCCCAACAACACCCCCCCGCCTCACCTGCCCTCGAAGGCGTCCGCATCACTCTCACCCCCGCAACCCTGACTGCTCCCGCCGGCACGATTGTCGAAGACCCCGGACGAAATACCATTTTTTGGGAAACTGAGCGTGAAGCGATGAATGCTGTTGTTGCGACACCTTTTCGCGTTACGTGGTGTCGTAGACGAGCGGTCAGTTTTCAGCAAGTCCGAGGACTGAGAAATGAGTGGAATGGAGGTAAGGAGGTGAAAGTCGCTAGAGATGGGACCGAGTTGGAACCGGCTGTTGCCAAGAGGATTTTGCAGTTGATTCATGCGCCGATGATGCAGGAGGTGGTGGGCGGGCCTGCTTATTAGGTTGGTAAGGTGGAGGTATTTGTTAGTATAAGAAGGGAGTTTGGATTTCGTGCTTTTTGAGCAGGGGGTGATGCCTGCTTGGTAGGTAGGTAGAGTTGTTTGTTGGTACACTGAGATGTGGGAGTGGGTAATCATGGTATATGGATGGGTTGGCGTTTTTGGACTTTGGGGGTGGTGGTGTGATGGAAGTACAAGAGATAGATCACAGAGGTCTCCTGCATACATGAAAGTGAGAATCAGATGGGGAGCGAGGGATTATCGTATATGGATCGGTTGGCGTTTTGGACTTGTTGGGTGGTGGTGTGATGGAAGTACAAGACATGGAACACAGAGGTATCTTACGTACATGACAGTGAAAATGAGATGGAGAGTAATTGGGGAGTAAGATTGGAATACAGAGTAAGACGAAGAGTGAGGACTAAGATGGAGAATGACGGACAGACTTATTCTTTCTTCTTCTCCTTGAGACTGAATGAATGACTGACCGACTGGTGACATACATACAAGTAGTTAATTGCTTGCGATGAACTGAAGGGATGAATGGATGACTGGACGGATATATTCCAACTAAAGATAAGGTACGGTACATGTAACTTAGTTGGCTGTGATACTTCCTTTCTTCATATTTTCTTTCCCTTCCCTTTTTTTCCCTTCTTTTTCTTTTTCTTCTTCTTTTTCAATCTTCAAGCATCGCCAAAAAGTTTCACCTATGATTTCCTTTCTTTTTTTTTAGTATACATACATACATACATACATACATACTTGCAACACTGCCGAATAGGCGAGGCGAGACTAAGCTCGGCTTAGATGGATAGACGGCTTTGTATAAAGGAATGGATAGACGGCTTTGTATAGAGGGAGAGAGCGAGAGAAAGAAAAATCCGTCGTCTGTCTTGATGCCCTTTTTTTTTCTCGTTCAACTCTCGGGCCACGTGGTCGTTATTCCGGGAGGACCGGCGTTCGAAGCTTTTCTGCAAGAGAGAGGAAAGACGGGAGAAGGATTGCTTAGTGATAGATGATGGGTGATAGGTTGAAGCTCTCTTTTTTGAGTTTTTTTTTGGTTGTGTCTGTTTGATGGTGTCTCATATATACCTATTTTCTTGAATACTTGGTTTTTCGCTTGGATTAGTGGTAAGTTTGCAAGAAAGTGGACTCTGGACGGAAACTCCGAAGGAAAGTCTTTTGTGACTCATTGTTCCTCCCTCTCAGGGTGGTGAAGGTCGTGTTGATTTGTCTGATGACTCGTTGCTGTAGGAACCAATATTTCTTCACTTGCATATGACTGCTGAAGCCAGGAGACTTTCGGACCAAGAGACTTTTTTTTTTCTTCACAAAATGTCTGTCATCCTGGACCCAGATTTCCTGTAAACTTGCTTTTGGCTCGTAGCTGATCGCCATAGAGGTATAGATACCACATCCCGATTACCCCTAATATGGAAATGGCTCCTAGGATGGAAATGCCCTGGTCGATGCCCAGATGGGTGTAGAGTGGCCCGGCAAAGTGCACGAATCCGACTGCGAACATGGATCGTGTGAAATCGGCGGCTGCGAGTAGGCTGGCGATGTATCTCGGATAGCTGAGGGGTACGTAGCAGAGTAGACATTGATACTGAATGTGGTTAGTTAGTGTGGGAACAACGCGCGCACGCTCTCTCTCTCCTCTGGAACCATCGGACGTACAATAATGAATGACGACCCTGCGTAGACAGTCAGAGCAATCGTGGGTACGATCCAGTGAGTGTCCACTTTCGCAGTCCAGGCAAAGAGAAACAACGACGCGGGAAGTAACAGAACCATGAGTAGTGCCGGTCGTAAGCGCTGCTCGTGTGGCACGTCCTCGCGTCGTGCATGTGGGCTCAAGTAAAGGTAGATTGCGTAGACTGTCGAAAAGGTCACACAGCCGACGACGATGCAGAGCCATGCCAGTCCGAACTGCTCCAGCGTGAAGCCGTACGTGCCGATGAAGACTAGTCCCGTGGATGAGAAGAAGCTGTAGAAGATGGCGTACAGCAGAGCCACGTACAGGCAGGAGAACATAATAACGGGGTCGAGGAAGGCAATCTCAAACGGCTTGATGATGGCGTCGACGAAGATGGCCTGGAGATCGAGCTTGTGGAGCTCCATGCGCGAGCGGTATCGGTCGCTGCCACTGTGCTGACGCAGGCGCTTTGCACGTTGGTAGAGGATCTTGTCACTCGACGTTTCTGGTAAGAGGGCGCAACAGATGAGGAGGGGCGCCAACATGATCGACATCTCCCACAGAGGCCACCTCCAATCGAGTGGCATTGCATACGCTGCGAAGAGAGGACCGAAGGCAGGTCCACAAAAGATGGCACCAATGTAGAAAATGTATGCGTATGGTAGCGCATTCCAGTCATATATGTCTTGCAAACTGGCTCCTCCTGATGCGAGAATGGGACTTCCGAAGAATCCTTGGAGGAATCGCAGAACGATCAGCCCGGCGAAAGACTTGTCCCCGAGTGTCGACACCAGGATGGACGTCATGCCAAACAGGATGAAGGATACGACGTATGGTGGATTCCGCCCAATGTAACCAATCTCGCTGAGTGGTGAGAACAGCAAGGGACCGAAACCATCTGTGGTGGCACATGTCAGGTCTTTGGGCAGAGCGAAGCATCACCCATCAGAAGAAGACTCACATCCACATACATACATGGATAGATTGAGCATTGCCATCTCAGGCGAAACGCCGAATTCTATTTGCACCCAGCTATCATCGTCAGCAGCAGATACATTTGTGGGCAGAGACTGTACTCACCCATCGAGGGGAACCGTGATTGCGGACGCACAGTATACCACGAAAGTGCACCAGCTCACCAGGTGTCAGCCACCGGAGCGGTATCGATCAACAGAGTGGAAGAGCATACCATATCGAAGAGGTCACCCACAGCTTCTTGCTGCGCGACCAATTCCTGGGATTGGCATTGTCTTCTGCACCATACCAGTTGACCACAACGATATCGAGATCTGTCTCTCCCAGTCAGCCCACGATGAGATGGCATATCGAAGGGTTCTCGTTTTCCACAGACCTGCTTGATGGGCAACTGTGACCCAGGCTTGAAACCCGACAGCCCCCTGCAATGCCTTCTCAAAATCACCAACATCGATATGGCTCGAATCGTGGCCTTCCAAGTCCGTCCGATGGAGCTGAGGGCCAACCCCAAAGAGTTGAAGAAGACCACCCAAAGGCGTCTCCCAGACGAAGCTCATCATACCCATCACAGTGATACGAACCTGTCAGAAGTGACAACGGTCGCTGGCCTAGGATGTGAAATAAGGCATACCGTAGCGGGCAGTTCTTCGCAGGCCGTTGAAACGTCTCCCGTTCTCTTTCTTTCATATACGAACGTTCGTGATCTATTGGCGGAGATATTCGGTGGGACAGCACAGCATCAAGGTATGTGATGGCCAGGAGACTGACCAGCTCGTCGGATTCGTACACGCAAAAAAGGTCGGGGTCGCTATCAGATCTATGCTAGATTGCTGGGGACCTGGACGCGAGCTGCGATCCTAGCCCCAGGGATGGAACCTGGTGCTTGCATTTGTGCTGTGCAGTGTGCAGAGAGGAGTAAGTCGTGTGTATCATCATCACTATTTGGTAGTTCAATTCAAATCTGACGAATGCCACGATGAGTTCAATATTAGGGGCACCCCCCTATTGGACTATGTGATGGACTATAGGCGAGACCTTGCATGAATGGTCTTGGCGCAAGTGAAGGCAAGTGAAGGTGAAGTTCAAAGTGGCCGCCAAGACAGCTCCACTAAAGCATGGGGAGTCCCGTTAGCGCGCCCGAGACCCCGAACCTTGCGTCTCCTCCCTGGACTTCTTCTTCCTTCTTCCTCCTCCCTCCTCCCTCCTCCTTGCACTCTCAACCTTGTTTGTCGTCTACTTTCTCCCAGACCAGTACCGCCTCATACTGTACACCCTGGCGCACGCATTTGTTAGCCGCGGACAGCTTGTTCATCAGTACAGGACCCGTCTCACCATAATCTTCGGCAAGGCATTCGGCCGCAGTGTGAGCACATTTCCGTCGAGAGCACACAATCGTATCTGCCGCGTGCCAATCCAGTTGGGATACAATGAGTGGTGCACGGCATGTTCAATCGCCCACGTCGGGTTCGCGGCGTCTCGTTCGTCCGAATCCAGTCTGCCCACCGCGAACGTTCCCCCATACGCCATGTAATGGCTAGCAGCCCTGGTTTTCTCCCAGAAGAATCCTCCATGCGGACTGGCACCCAGAAACCTCATCGTGCTGGGCTTCTGCATTTGTACTGACATATGGCCGTCTCGAGTGTAGATCAACACTCCAGATGGTTTTGCTCCCAATGGCATTCGGGTGAATTTGAAGGGCTTCCGGGCGTGTACTTGATATGAGACAAGCTCCCAGCTCCCTTCCAATTGGCTGCGCAGTTTGATCGCTTCTGGGGTCTGCGTGTCACACAGTGACGACACGAGCTCTTGTTCGGCCATTCTTTCGACGACGACGACGACGACGACGACGACGACGCCTTCCTGGGACCTGCAAGATAGTATAACGACGAGCATCAACGCGGAGTGCGGCATCGGTCCTGTTATTCTACGGACGTTCAGCACCGTATCGATAAGTCTAATGAATCTTAGTTTAGCGAGACTATCCCTGAGCATCTTCTGGTAGACTTTTCCGCACTGCTCTCCAGCGGTTTGTGGAAGCTTCGGGCACGTTCCCGCAAGAGCGGTGACGTGGCGTGCGCCGTGCTGGAGCCGAGAAGAAAGCGAAATGCTACAACATTCTCTACATTAGGTATTCTTCCAGCATTTCAGGACAAGGATATCGCATTCGTAATCGATGTCTACTCATCCCGATACTCAAAGCCGTCACTCACGACCGGTAATTGGAGTCCTCAAAGAAAGCACGGATCATGAACTGCATCTCACGCATGTTGCATGATGCAGCTACATCGGAGACAGGCATTTCTCACGGGTATCGACGAAACTGGATGCTGTCGCCACATCACTTTGCCGAGCAGCTTGATGATACTTTCCAGCACCAGGAGTAGACCACCTGTTTGGACATACGAAGACGTCAGGCGTGGGGGGTTGTGCAATCGACTATTCAAGACAGGCGCGATGTACATGTCTCGCTCGTCGAGCGCGACCCAAGGCGGCAAAGACAACAGAATCGCCGCGGACTCGAGACCCTGCCCATGACCTGGTCTAGACTTATGTACGTTCTTCCACATGAGAATGCCTTGCCTTGGCTTGCGACACTATATACCGCAGCGCATCTACCACCGAGTCACTTCCGCCTGCAAATGTGGACCGTCCAAGCTACAAGCTGATCAACTCCTCGACCAAGCTACGCAGTGTAGCCGCACAATGAACTACTGGATGTTTTTACCTAATCCACCCGTCCTCGGTGCCGAGTTGCACCCCTTGATGCATGCTCGCTGGCGATGAGCCCTGGGGTAAAGCGCCAAGCACTGTTGCATTCTCTTGGTGCTTGGCGTGCCCTCGTTTGTGGGAGTAGATGCAGGAGTAAGAAGTGATGAGCTCCATTGCTGGATGGATCTGTCTTCCGCAACCTGCTCACTGCCCGGCCGCGAATCCGTTGCCCATGCATATGGTTCGTCTTCCAGCATGAACCTCGTGGCGTCACCAGCACGGGCGGTATTTCCTTTTATTTGGGAATGAAAACTGAGCGGTGACCAGACGAGTCCCACTGGCGAGTCTCATCGATCAGCATCGGCCACGGTGGAAATACTGTATGCCCCACTTGCAGCAATACAGCGTACGTTGCGCATGTGGCAGTTGTCACAACCATCACCATGGGCCAGGCTCTTTGTGGGCGTTGAAAACACGGTGACGATCGATGATGGAGTGAGAGAACATCTCTTGTGGTTGACTCGTTAGCACACTGTTGTCTATTCATGGTTACCAGGTCAACGGAAAGACCAGTGCAGCGCATTCCGTTCCATCACTGATGGTTGGACTACTACTCGAAGAATTCTTAGTCCAGAGACTCCGCGCAGGTGGGTTCCTTGCAAAGGGGTATGAAGGGCGACAACATGTTGTTGCATAGCTGGAAGAGGCAGGGCTTGGGGTTGTGCCGCGCGTCAACCATCAAGACCTGCGAAGCCTCCCTTGGCAGTAGTTATTAGTCTCACCCCATGGTCTTGACATTCGGCAAGCGTTTATTAAAGCGCTCAGCACATCGAGTCGTACGAAGCCCACTGTGAATCCAACGCACGAGGAGCTTGCAGTCCCTCTGTCAACGATGGCTAGATAAAGCGCGTCATACACCATCTCCATCGCTAAGTCACAGGTGCGATGCTTGAAAGATATAGCAGACTGGCACGTCTAGAGACTAGGGGTGATATATCGGCTGAGTAACGACTTTACTAGGATATTGTTACCTACAGAGTGCGGACAATGGACCTTGGATGCCGACTCATACTGCGACTGGGCTGCTTGTTGCTTGCCAGGGAGCCTTTTATTGCGAAAGTCACCTCCTAGCCCCTATATAGGAGGTATGTGGTTGTCGACTCGAAGCCTCGTAGGGCCCCATGTTCATGGCATGATGTGACAAACAGACTTTGGAGGCTGAAGTTCGCCGTCTGGCATATTGAGCTCAAGCAATAGGATCAGACCACGGTCGGACCACTGTGTACCACGTAGTTAAGCATGCCTCTCGCTACGCTGCCCTTCCGACTTTGATGAATTGCGACCATTGTGCAGTTTACGATCTGGATGGAGTGCATGGAAGATGCGCTGCGAACGCTGTCATTGGCTTACGGAACTAAGCGAAATGAAGGTCCCTCAACACGGCGGATGATACCTTATTACCAGGCAACCTAGGAACGTAACACACCACTCCAACAGCCTTTCACACCAACTTCACCAAGTGAATCCAACTGTACCTTGGAAATATAATCAGAATTAACGCGTCGCACAAAATGGCAAGCCTGCAATGAGCCGGACTCCCGATGTTCAAGGAAGCAGTCATATGTCCATATCACAAATCCACAATCCGCCAATATCGCGTCAGCATGCCCCATGGAAAATCTCGTGGGCACAGTCCACTGCATAAAGTTCATGAATGAAGCTTCCACAGCAGCACAGCTCACCCAACCAGGACCTGCTGTAACATGCTTTGAATCTCAGACACCACCTTGGCCGACGACATGCGGTCGCTGGGGATTTCATGGCCACCTCGATGCTGTAGGAAGCGGCGTCCCTGCATTGTGCAGAGGTCTCGAACTTGCAGACTCTGGCTGAGGTAGTCGTCGTTTGCACCGACGATGTGGAGAGTAGGAATCGTGATCTGCGCCTTTTCTGAATTCGCATACGGACTGCCGTATCGATGGAGGTACTTTGCTTCGTACGACACTGGTCCTGTGTACCCGTTACAGCCGCCGCGCTCAGGGACCATTTCATTGACGTCGAAGTTGACCATCGGCTCGTTGGTGTCTGCCATTCGACAACTTCCATCCTCGCTCACGTGAAAGGGGGGCGAACGTAGATCCCAGGGTACTGTAGCGTTGAAGAATATGGCACATTTGAATGGATTGCACGGCCGTCCAGAGCGCAAGTCGTTCAGGATATAACTTGATGCCAACGCGCTGCCTTGGGAGAAGCCGATGACGCCGTCGAACGGCCCCTCTTCTTCGATGATCTCGTCTATCATATCAAATGCATTCTGCACCTCCTCGGGGGTGGGTAGGGTGTAGTATGAGAGATATGGCCCCGGGAAGAAAGCATCGATGCCTCGTCTCTCTGTCAGCACACCTGTGTAGTATCCCGTCGCCCAAATATCGGACCTTGTACTCACCGTACACTGGATCGCCCTCGACGCAGCCATCTAAGAAGACGAACTCGTGCCTGCCGGGGAGATTGGCTCTAATACTAGCAAGCTGGAACTCAAGTATCTTGCTCGATCCTCCCATTCCGTGAAGGCAGAGGAAACGCATTCTGTCGTTATCTCGGTATTGGGATGGCAGTGGGATGAGAAGGTGATGAGCAGTGCTGACCGCTGCAGTGCGAAGCGGTCTAAACCGAGTTATCCCCACGCATGCGTGCTGCACGACGTTCACCGATCAAGTATAATACAGGTCTAGTCGGCACCTTTTGTGCGAGGAGCGATACCCTGGCCCCAGAGGGCCGGTCTGGACCAGCACCCATCGAGAGTTTAACATATCTACCGTAGCTTATGCCCGGGGTGCAGGTTCGCCGCCGAATAGCTGAGCTTCACATCTGTACGAAGATCTTTTAGAAGAAGAACTGCTTTTTCTTCCAACCTTTTTGGTGCACACCGCCGATTCTGTCAACCCTTAATCTGATCGAAAAGAACAAATGCAGTCAACCTATTGAAGAAACGACAATCAGACCATACCACATGGGATACCATCATGAACTCCTTCATCAATAATTATGGCGATAAGATTATGCCTGTTGCGATCGTTGGCGTGGCTGGGCGCTTCCCTGGCGATGCTTCAGATCCAGATAAACTATGGAGCTTACTCACGCATGGTCGAAGTGCTCGCAGCAAAGTACCAGAAGATCGATACATCGTAGATGCTCACTACCAGTGAGTGATCTGTGTATGCATCACTGCAACTCTTGTTAACGGAACGTATAGTCCTCATGCTGAGCGGCTTGGTGCACAAAATTTCACGACAGGCCACTTCATGCACCGTGACCCGGCTGCTTTTGATGCCCCCTTCTTCCAAATAACGCCAAATGAAGCGAAGGCCCTGGACCCCCAGCAACGCATGCTACTTGAAGTAGCATATGAAGCCCTTGAAAATGCGGGTATACCGATGGAGAGGGTGGTCAAGTCTCCAACCTCCTGCTACGTGGGTTGCTTCACTCGAGATTATGGCGACATCTTGGCGCATGATGTGCAGACTACGCCTGCCTACTCGCCGACTGGTGCCTCTGCATCCTGTCTGTCGAACAGAGTCTCCTGGTTCTACGATCTGCGCGGACCGTCCATGACCGTAGACACGGCGTGCTCCTCGTCATTGGTCGCACTCCATCTTGCTTGCCAGAGCTTGAGAGATGGTGAGTCTGAAATGTCACTTGTCGGCGGCGTCAATTTCATGTGCTCTCCGGATTGTAACAATTCCATGTCGTCGCTTCACTTTTTGAGTCCCGATGGCAAGTGTCAGTCCTTTGATGAGAAGGGCAATGGATATGCTCGCGGCGAAGGTACTTCATTTGTGATTATCAAGCCCCTGGCTGCTGCCATCCGCGACAACGATGTCATTCGTGCAGTCATCAGAGGCACTGGCAGCAATCAGGATGGTCTCACGCCTGGTCTGACGCTTCCTTCGTCGGAGGCTCAGGCCCAGCTGATACAGAGCACTTACGAGCGTGCTGGCCTGAGTCTTGCCGATACTGGATACGTCGAAGCTCATGGTACAGGAACTGCTGCTGGCGACCCCATCGAGACCTCTGCCTTGGGCGCCACTTTGGGCAAGGCAAGGCAACGAGACAGGCCTCTCTGGGTCGGCTCGATCAAGGCCAACATCGGCCACTTGGAGGGAGCCAGTGGAATTGCGGGCCTAGTCAAGGCCATATATATCCTTGAGCAGGCTCTGATTCCTCCTCAGATTTGGCTTGACAGGCTCAATCCACGCATCTTGGCCGACGAATGGAATCTTGCGTTCCCTCGCAAGCTCACTGCGTGGCCATATGATGGCTTGCGACGCATTAGCATCAATTCATTTGGCTTTGGCGGAGCCAACGCACACTGCATCCTGGACGACGCTTATCATTACCTCCACCAGCGCAGTCTTGGAGGCAATCACAATACGAAGATCAACCACCAGGAGGTGAGACCCATGTTGCACAGGCACACGAAGTCTTTCGACTCTGTTATATCCGACGCCATGTGGCCCAAGCCTTCACAAGCAACGCCGTGCCTCACCATCCTCTCATCCCATGAGCAGTCTGGCATGTCTCGTCTTGTCGAAGTGTACCGTGGCTATCTGGAGACCAAAATGCGCACTCCTGAGTCAGCCGAAGACCAGGCTGATATGTACTCCCGCTTTGCTTACACACTGGGAACAAGGAGAAGCGTCCTTGCGTGGAAGTCTTACTTTGTCGCCGCAACATTCGATCAAGCCTATGACAGCATCAGCGAGATGTCGAAGCCTGTCCGCTCTACGAAGCCCCCAAAGCTTGGCTTTGTGTTCACAGGGCAAGGTGCACAACACTTCGAAATGGGCCGCGAGCTGTATGCATACCAAGTGTATGCACGGTCTCTGGAAGATGCTGACGCATATCTTCGTTCCATGGGGTGCGAATGGTCTGTGATTGAGGAGCTGTTCAAAGCCAGCGAGGTCTCCAATGTAGACAAGCCTGATTTCAGTCAACCGCTCTGTACAGCTCTTCAGATTGGTCTCGTAGATCTCATGCGTCATTGGAACATTCTCCCAGCAGCCGTCGTCGGTCACAGTTCCGGCGAAATTGCTGCTGCGTATGCTAAAGGGGCCATCACCAGGGAGGATGCATGGCGCATCTCATATCATCGTGGCCGTCTATCTGCCAAGCTGGATGAGATTGCACCAGATCTCAGGGGCGCTATGTTGGCTGCTGGCCTGGACGCAAAGGCTGCTCGAAAGTATATTGACGAGGTCAGAAGAGGTAGAGCTACGATTGCTTGTGTCAACAGTCCGAGCAACGTCACTATATCGGGCGACGAGTCCGCCATTTGCGAGATCGAGGAGCAATTGAAGGCAGACGAGATTTTCGCTCGCAGACTGAAGGTCAAGACGGCTTATCATTCATTTCACATGGAAGCCGTCAGTCAGCTCTATCTCGAGGCCTTGGAAGGCCTTAGCCCCAGTCCGGAAGATGCTGAGATGCCAATGATGTTCTCTTCGGTCACAGGGTCACTCATCAGGAGTCACGAATTGGGGCCACAGTACTGGGTGGATAACATGCTTCGTACTGTCAACTTTGCAGAAGCAGTAGAGTCTCTCCTGACGTATACCAAGAGCAAGCGAGTGAGGGCTGGCAGCAAACCATATGTGGATGTTCTCGTCGAGATTGGCCCCCACGGAGCACTTCAAGCTCCTATCAAACAGTGTCTGGGCGAAAAGGCCAAGATGTGTACTTCACTTTCGGTGCTCACTCGCGGCAGGAATAGCGCCACGGCAGCGCTGGAGACGGCCGGTGCTCTCTTCCAGCTGGGAGCCAATGTCGACATAGGGGCTGTGAACAGCCCGGATTGGAAGCCGAAGAGGCAGCAGATTCTCATTGACTTGCCGCCATACCCCTGGAACCACGAAAACAAATACTGGCACCAATCTGCAGTCGAAGCTGCCCACCGGTTCCGTAAGCTGCCTCGTAATGACTTGCTCGGTACTCTGAGTACGGAACTCAACAGGGACGAACCTTCGTGGCGTCACTTCATTCGACTGTCCGAGAACCCCTGGGTTGAGGATCATATGGTACAGAGTACCTTGCTGTATCCTGCCGCAGGTATGATGGCCATGGCTGTAGAAGCTGCGGCTCAAATTGCCGATCACAACAAGGGCGGCGTAGAAGGCTACGAGCTCAAAGATGTTTTGGTCGACAAGGCTCTGATCGTTCCTCGTGACGAAGATGGTGTTGAGGCACAATTCCATCTCCGGCCATGGAGAATGGGATCGCAAGCAACGACATCCGCATGGCATGAATTTACCATTTACTCGCGGTCTGGCAACGAGGAGTGGTCCCTGAACTGCTCTGGTCTCTTGCGCGTGGTCTACCAGGGCTCTGCACCCAATGCCACGTTCGCAGACGAGACACGACTGGAATCCTCGAAGCATCGCGCTGCATATGAGCGTGCCAAAGAAGCTGCCACTACGCATGAGAATGCTGCTCACTTCTACGATCGCCATCAGAAGCTGGGTTTACAGTACGGTCCCACGTTTCGCAATCTGTTCGACATTTGGAAAGGAGATCGGTTGAGCTCGTGCCTCTTGCGCGTTCCCGACGTGGCTGAAACCATGCCCATGCAATATCTCACACCGCACCGGATTCATCCTACCACGTTGGACACGCTAATACAGACACTCATGCCCACGGTAGAAGGGACCTATCAGAATATCGAAACTGCTGCTGTGCCCACCTTCATCCAGCGTCTGTACGTGTCGGCCGACTGCCCGAGCGAGCCAGGGACCGTTCTCCAGACATACTCGGTGGCGGGATACAGTGGCCTCAAGGAAGCAGAAGCATCTGTGTACGCCTCGATCGAGGGCTGGGTCAAACCTCTGGTCATCTTGGAACGCATCCGTGCAACCCGTATCTCCGCCATGACCAGCACCATTGGGAATGCTGCTTCTAGCAATGCGAACCTGCGGAAGATCGCCGGAGAACTGGTATGGGAGAGGCTCGCTTCAGCCATGTCAGCCGAGCAGATCACCGCTTATTGTCGTGGTCCTGGAAAGCGTTCTGCAAATGCTCAGCTCGCCGCTTACTTGCGACTACTGGGCCATGAAACGCCGGGCCAGAAGATTCTAGAGATTGGCTGTCAGTCCGTCGCTGTGAGCGAGGCAGCACTGGGGCTTCTTGTCAGCTCGGACGATTCCACTCCTTGGTTTCGGTCCTATGATTGCGTTGGTGACTGGGCAAAAGCGCCCCAGGACGTTGCCGCTCTGATTGAAGCACACAGCCAACATATGTCCTACAATCAACTGGACATCTCCGGTGACTTGGCCGCTCAGGGCTTCGATCAAGGGGAATACGACGTGATTATCATTTCAGATTGCAACGAGATATCTGACCTGCCAACTGCGCTCAGAAATGCAATATCTATGTTGAGGCCTGGTGGCAATTTGGTCGTTGGGGATCAGATGGTCAATGCTGCACTCGGTCCTGCGATCAATGGCACGATAAAACACGAAAGCGACTCCAATATCGACAAGAAAGCCTGGAACGACCATCTGCGCGAAGCTGGCTTTGAGGGAGTAGACCGAATGCTTGTTGATGATAGCAGCGCTGAACCCCTGGTGTCGGTCTACACTATTGCCACATCTCAGCCCCTAGCGCCAAGTTTGCCCGACCAGATACTCATTGTAGAGCCACTCGCGCGCGGTGGTCTCTCCAGTCAGGCTCTCAGTGATAAACTCGCTGATCATCTTCGCTCAATGGGCTCCAATGTGTCGACCGTGGAACTCAAGGATGTAGCCAAGCTGGATCTCGCAGACAAGTCGTGTATCGTCATGATCGAGCTGGAGTCACCCCTACTGTATGGCCTGGAACCACACGACTTTGAAGCTATTCAAACGATGCTGCTCACCTCGAGTTCCGTCACCTGGATCGCCCAAGGTGGTGCCATTGAGTGCAATGATCCCAAGTCTGCCTTGATCACAGGCTTGGCCCGTACCCTCCGCCAAGAACATACTGGTATCAAGCTCGCTACTCTCGACCTGCCCGTCACGCTTGAGCTTGATTTCGTTATGAATGTCGAAGCCATCATCCAGGTAGTGAAGACGCATTCGTTGGACACATCTGATCAAGAGTTTGCTCTGCGGGACGGAGTGCTTCGCATACCTCGTCTTGATGTCGACAAAGGAGCGAATGACCTTATTGCTACTTTCCACTCGGAGCCCGTCCCCGAGCCTGGTTTATTCCGGCAGACCGATCGTGCACTGACTCTCAGTGTCAAGGTCCCAGGTATGCTAGACTCACTCTACTTCAAGGACGACGAGACCTGGGTTCTGCCTTTGGAAGCAAACGATGTCGAGATCGAAGTGATGGCTTCTGGTCTCAACTTCATGGACGTCATGGTCGCCATGGACCAGATTCAAGAGCCTGCCATCGGTGTAGAGTGTGCTGGAGTCGTATCGCGTGTTGGCAGCGAAGCAAGAAAATACAAAGTTGGCGACCGTCTCATCTGTTGGCGCCTGGGAGCATTCAGCAACTTTGTACGCAACCATGAAATGATGTTTCAGCCTATTCCCGATGGCATGAGCTTCGAAACCGCAGCTTCGATTCCTGCAGTGTACTGCTCTGCTTACTCGGCACTCATTGAGGAGGCTCGGTTGTCCAGTGAAGACACCATACTCATCCATGCCGCCGCGGGAGGTGTCGGACAAGCAGCGATCCAAATTGCTCAACACATTGGTGCTACAGTCTACGCGACTGTTGGATCTCAGGCGAAAAAGGATCATATTGTGAACACATACGGTGTTCCTGAAGACCACATCTTCAATTCTCGCGATTTATCCTTTGCTACTGGTATCAAGCGCATGACGAATGGTAAAGGGGTTGATGTGGTGCTCAATTCTCTCGCTGGCGAGGCTCTGCGGGAGTCTTGGAACTGTCTTGCGTGGTTTGGACGTTTCGTGGAATTGGGCAAGAAAGATATCAGTAAGTTGTGATCTGCTATTGATGATGATGATGATTTGCTGTGCCCCTTTGCTAATTACTTCCTCAGCTGGTAACACGGGTCTTGAAATGGCTCCCTTCATCAAGCACATCAGCTTCCACTCTGTCAATGTGATTGGAATGCAACGCGTGAACATGCCACGGGCTGCGAGATTGTTCCATAATACTATGCTCTTCTTCCGCCAATCCAACTGTCAGCCGGTCTCACCGATCCAGGCGATGGGCTTCGATGAAGTTGAGAGCGGCTTCCGCCTCCTCCAGAGCGGCAAGCACATGGGAAAGATTGTTTTCAAAGCTGGAAGTTCTCAGATGATTCAATGCATACCTCGGAAAGTCCGTGAAGCGCAGTTTGACCCGAATGCTACGTATATTCTCTCTGGTGGCCTGGGAGGTCTGGGACAATCTCTTTCTACATTTATGGTCTCGCACGGCGCGAAGAATCTGGCCTTCATCTCTCGCTCTGGTGCAGCCAAGCCCGAAGCGCAATCTATCATCGACACTCTGGCGTCTCAGGGGGTTCATGCTCGAGCCTATGCTTGTGACATTGGCGACTCCATCAAGACTCAAGAGACTCTTGCCACGATTCAAGCAGAAATGCCAAAGGTTCGCGGCATCATACAGGCAGCAATGTCTCTGGCGGACTCTGCATTTGCGAATATGACACATGCCCAGTGGAATCTATCGGTGAATCCCAAGGCGCCAGGGACATGGAATCTGCATCAGCATGGCCCCAAAGACCTTGATTTTTTCATCATGCTCTCGTCCTCCTCTGGCATCGCGGGAACTCGTGGACAGGGGAACTATGCAGCAGGAAACACATTTCAAGATGCTCTGGCGCATTATCGACGTGCTCAAGGTATGTACACCGTCGCCGTCGATGTTGGTCCCGTCTCTGGAGCAGGCCACGCCTTTGAGCACCCCGAGATTCTCGAATCTCTCTCCGCGCAAGGCTATGTGCCACTGCTCGAGTCGGAATTTCTCGCTCTCATCCAAGCCGCCGTCACAGGCGAGACAGCCTCGGGGATAACGATGCCCACCCAGCTCGTCACGGGCTTCATCACCGGCGGCATCCTACAGTCCGAAGGCCGAGAAATGCCTTTCTATCTCGACGACCCCAAATTCCACCACGTCAGACTCGTCGATGCACGATCCCACGACTCGATCGACGCGAATAACAGCTTCGGATCCCAACTCCCCTCTGCGCAGAATCTCACTGAAGCTGCAGAGATTGTCACTGCTGCTCTTGCGCAGAAACTTGCTAAACTCATGATGGTCTCGGACGAGGATATTGATACTGGTAAGCCGATTTCGACCTATGGCGTCGACTCTCTCACTGCGGTGGAAATTCGAGCTTGGACGTTCCGTGAACTGCAATCGGATGTTTCCATCTTTGATGTCATGAGCAATGTGCCGATTTCGAATTTGGCGCGCACGATTGCGTCGAAGAGCAAGTTGGTGTCGGTGGAGGTTGTTGCGGCGGATATGTAATAATGAATATGAGGTTATTATTAAATGTTTCAATCGAAATCTCACTTATTATTGACCCACGAGAGGACTGCTTTGCAAAGCCATTCCCTTCTGTCCCGCACGCAGTGTACGAGACGCTCGCTATCGCTACGGTGGTACATAAGAGAGAGAGGAGGCTAGAAAACATCCCACGCTTGAATGAGAGAGGTAAAGTTCATATGCCCTGGTATTAAACGCAGCAACAAGGCAAGGATAGGCCTCAAGGGGTTACAGTAGTAGTGACCTGACCCCCCCCCCCGTAAATCAGCTACGATTTTTACGTGACGGCTCAAAAGACAACGGCTACCCTGGAATGCGGAAAATACCCTATTCATTCACTTGCTTTGAGTTTTGGACAAAAGGGGGAAACTCCTCGATGGAGCTGGAAAACTCTCTTTTGATGATCCTGGTGACTTGGATATGTATGTATGTATTGTATGTGTGTGCATATCCATCTACTAGGGTTATGCGAGGAAGTCCAATAATTTAACAAAAATCGAATGCACAGACTTTATATGCTTTTTGATTGTTTGCGTCGAGCTGGGGGTTGGGTACTAGGTAGTTCTTGCTTTGCTTTTTCTTTTGAGATATCTTTATGCGTACGGCTGTCTGAGGATTTTGATGTTGCTGTACTTATATTCGACAAGTCAGTAAGCTGTCTTTCGACATCAGAACTTCAGCTGAGATTGGCGTTTCATCGAACGTTGTATGAAGAACTTGGTGTTCTACTCGTATTGACAACGACGAGTTTCTCTCATCATCATCATCATCATGGAGCCATCCTCTGCAGCTCAGCAGAATGGACATGCCTCAGGAGACACCGAAGCGAAAGCAAATGGTACTACAGAAAAAGAAATCCATGAACAGATTCAAGCCGATGTCATCGTGATTGGAGCCGGTTTCTCTGGTATCACTGCCATGCACAGACTTCGCAAACACGGCTTGAGCGTGAAGTGCTTGGAGGCTGGAGGCGGCTTTGGAGGCGTATGGTATTGGAATCGGTAGGTTAAAAAGGAGCCTTGGTCAACAACACTGCTCTGTAGTCCGTCTGAAGCTGATTCTCAGAGATTTTAGATATCCTGGAGCGCGAGTGGATTCAGAAGCACCATTTTATCAAATGAATATTCCGGAAGTGTGGCAGACTTTTACCTTTCGAGAACGCTTTCCAGGCCACGAGGAGCTTCGAGAGTATTTTGCACATATTGATAAGATTTTGAATCTCTCACAAGATACGTACTTCAATGCTCGAGTGAATCACATCACGCACAGCAAGTCGGAGAATGTTTGGGTGGTGGAGACTCAGCAAGGTCATATCGCAAAGGGGAAATATTTGATCTTGGCCACCGGTGTCCTCCATCAAATGCACAAACCAGATTTTCCCGGTCTCGACAAGTACAAAGGAGAACTCTACCATTCTGCAGCCTGGCCCAAAGACTTCAGTGCCAAAGGCAAGAAAATTGGATTAATAGGAGCAGGGGCTACTTCAGTACAAATTACTCAAGAGCTCGGCAAGGAGGCAGACGAATTGACCATTTTCCTCCGTCGACCATCCTATAATCTCCCCATGCAACAACGCCCTCTCGACAAAACCGACCAATCTCACCTCAAAATGTTCTATCCCACTCTCTTCCAAGCCGCTCGAGCCTCACATACCGGATTCCCTACCGCCCAAATCCCCCAAAATACCTTGTCCGTCCCCGACCACGACCGAACCGCCCATTTCGACCGATGTTGGAAATCTGGCGGTTTTCATTTCCTGCTGAATAGCTATCAAGACCTCTTCTTCACCTCCGAGGCAAATGCGGAATATTACAAATTCTGGCGTCGACAAGTCTGTCAACGCCTTACGGATCCGAGTAAACAGAGCCTCATGGCTCCGGAAGAAATGCCATATCATTTTGGTACGAAACGCTGTCCTCTCGAACAAGACTATTATGAAATTCTCAATCAGTCGAATGTGCATCTTCATGATTTACAAACTTCTCCTTTGAGAGAATTTTCTGAAAAAGGGATTTTAACGGCTGATGGTACGGAACACGTTTTTGATACCATCATCTTCGCTACAGGCTTTGATTCTTTTACCGGTTCGCTGTTGAATCTCAATTTACATCGTCCATCAGATAACAAATCTCTTCGAGAAATTTGGACGCAAAAGCAAAAAGAACAACAACAAAAACAAAAACTATCAATCAAAACTTACCTCGGCCTCCTCATCCCCCATTTCCCCAACCTCTTCCTCATTTACTCTCCGCACGCCCCCATAGCTCTCTCCAACGGCCCGACCATCATCGAAAGCCAAGTCGAAATGATTGTCGAAGAGGTGATTCTTCGAATGGAAAAAACTGGAGCCAAGAGTATTGTGCCGAGAGAAGCTGCGGCGGAAATGTGGAAGAGGGAGGCGATTGAGAAGGCGTATGAGGGGACGTTGTTTCCGTTGACGGATTCGTGGTGGAATAAAGGGGGGAGTGGGGATCGGCAGAAGAAGAGTGATGAGGAAGAGGGGAAAGGGGGAAAGAAGGAGGAGGAGGAGGAGAAAAAGGAGATGATAGATTTTATTGGTGGGATTCATGTTTATGAGAGTGTGTGTCGGGAGATTTTGCGCGAGTGGAAGGGGTTCAAGGTGGTATATGATGATCCCAAGCAGAAATGGAAGCGGAGGTGGGTGGAGTTGAAACATGTCGTGGAGCATGTGATGGAGCATCTTGTGGGAGGATCCAAAGATGCTCAGTCAAGTGGTCCAGCAGCAGACTTGAGAAATCATTAATTAGGGAGTGGGTGAGAAACGGTGTAAGAGAGCATATGCTTAGGACGGAGCTACTACTACTACTACTACCACTACGACGACGACATGGTATCCCCATGATGCTCAAGGTAGCATATAGGCATCTCCACTGCCTTCAAAGGAAATGCCATCTTTTCCAGTCCAGACGTTCATGATTGTCTTCTTGTGCGCTTCGACATCCAAATCCTCCCTCACGCCATGCTTCTTTCTTCGACTCATATCCACACTACGCCTTGCGCGCGAGCCCTCCTCGCCACCAGAGAAGCCACCAGCAATGCAATGGTTGATACCATGGAAGGCCGAGTCGGCCACAGTCTTCCACGCAGCCGTCATATCGACCGCCATCTCTGGAGTATAGTAGATTCTGCAATCCGCAGGCTCATACAGAAACTGTAGTGGAATGTTCGACGTGTCGTTCTGACGAAAGCCTTCTCGGCTGTTCACACTGCCCATTGTTCGATGTACCGCGAGGTTATTGTACGCACCCAGAGCGGTGCGCTTGTAGAACTCTCGTGAGTGAACGGACTCGTACCTGAACGGAACCTGCACAGACTCGAGGATGGTGCCGTATGATCGCATGTTCGTTCCCTTCACACCGCCAATAGCTTGGGTGATGTCTGTGTTCGGTCGACCACCGAGGAAGATGATCTTGACTCCAGCTTGTTGACGCATCAATTCGCTGAAGATGGCGCAAGTCGAAGCGCAATAGCCATCACTCACAATCACAACATTCTCGGTGGCGAAAGGCTGAGTGGTAACGTTGGAACGTTTGAGGTAGCCCGAGACGTAGATGCCGCCCGACGAGATAGGAGTCAGAACATCGGTCAGGTTCCAGCGCTGCAAAGATGTGTAGTTGTCCGGGCCTGGTCCAAACGTCTCGGGGCCAAACTTTTCGCTCCACGATGCGAAGTTGGTGTAATTCACGTTGACATCACTCCGATAGTTGTAGAATGAGGAAACATACTCTCCCGTCTTGCCATGCAACTTCATACTTCGCTCAAATCGCCCAGAGAAGGCGCTGTATTCTTGTCCGATATAATCCAGCGCTTCGTGCGCGCGGAACCGATTAGCACCATATGGTAGGAGATGTGGAAAAAGCTGCTTGAACAGATCATATCCTTGGAGAATGGTGCCGCCGCCGTTTGCCGATAAGTCGATGATCAACTTGGTCTTGTTGCGCGCTACAGCTTGCTCGATGAAGTAGGTGTTGACGGCCTGGAATGGAATCTCGTCGCTTTGTGGTCCCACGAAGTTCTGGATGCTCAGTACTGCCACATCATCGTAACCTTCACCTTCGAGAAAGTATCCGGAGTTGGTGTTGTTAACTTCGCGAATGAAAGGCGCAGGGAAGCCAGGCGCCAACACGGTTGTGGTGGTCGTCGTCACAGTCGCCGATGGAGTGCTCAAAGTCATGGTTGTGGCTGGAAAAGTAGTGGTTTGTGTCTAGAAACGGTCTGAGCATGTCTATGGTCAAGGGAGTATCTGTCGAAGTCTTACAGCAAGTTCCTCTGCCGGCATGATCTTGCCCGGAGGAGGAGTCAAGTACTGTGTATATATGTCGGCACCGCTAGTGATGTTGTCAAAAGACACCAGAACACGAGCAAAGTTCGGATGCGTCACTGCTGAGCCGTTGGCAAATGTAAGCGTAGTACTTTCGCCGGGATAAAAGGAACGGCCATGACCACCGCCAGCGAAGGTTCCAGTGCCAGTCCCTGCCGCACCCAGTGAGACTGCTCCGAGTAAGTAGAAGACGTTATTCCACAGGGCGTCTGGGTCTTGCAAAACACCATATTGAGCCCAGTGTAACAAGTATTCGGTGCTGTTTTGCCCATCAATCAAAGTAATCGGGCTCGGCACAAAGCTGGCATTCCCCTTAATGGTCTCCACGATATCGGTGTAGACGAAGACTTCGGGAATACCGGTCCCGTCCATCGACACCGAGACCAGTGGTGTAGGCCTACCGAACGCGAAGATATTACCGACAGAGTCCGGCATGAGCGTAAAATGTCCATTGTGTGCTCGCTGGAAACATCGATACAACTCGAACCCAAACTCATACTCACTCGCGTATGATCCGGCTGAAGCTTTGGTGTATATGCCCTCGAAACTTTTCAGGAAATCGTAGGGAGCCTGAATCTTTTGGGAATATTCTAAAGGCGGATCTTTGATCCATTGGAGGTTGGTTTGCCACTCAAGATATGGACGGATGGAATCCAACAGATCAACTGAGAGAATATCAGCTCCGCCCATAAGAGAACCAAGCATACACTCACCTGCTGCTGAATGGTGGAATGGCACACTGTTGATGCATTCATATGCTAGCGCCGCGGGAACTGTGGGTACGGCCTCTGGTGAGGCCGATGAAGCCTTCATAGCCAGTGAGCGAATGCTCGCGCAGGCATTTTCAGGCACAGTCGAAGTTATGCTCGGAAATTTCGGTCCAAGTTTTGAGGCAGGAGGAGCATAAGTTGTCAAGAGCACGGTAGGTATAGTTACCGTCTGCGTCGCGATAGTGATAGTTGTTGTGCGAGTGGCACTTGGCACTCCTGTGGGTTGAACTGTCTCGTGCGATGGGGTCGTTGTTTCATACGAAGTCGCAGGCCATGTACTGTAGCCTGTTGTATTCGAGACTGTCGTACTATTCCAGTCTCCCTGAGTGTCGCTCATTCCACGCGTAGGGGATAGTCGCTGAGCCGTAGACCTATGGGCTTCGGGACTTGTTCTGAAGGACGTTCAGAAGTAGCCATTTCACTATACCCCTCTCATCTCATCTGGAGCAGTTTGCTTACCCTGGCCATCTTTCTTGCCAATTGCTGACGGATTGTACATCTGTGCCTGGCCAAACTGGAGATCCGCAGACAGTTACGCCGAGTGCGGCTGCACCAGCAGCAGCGATGACTGCGCGTCCCATCTTCTCGATCCCAAGGGGCGACGCTGTAGCAGGACGCCTTGCAGACTTAGAAACGAGTGTTCGTGAGGGTCTGCATTCTGGTTGCGACTTAGGGATAGGCATGGTAAGGTCGTGTGGTAGAATGCCTTTTGGGGAGCACGGAGAGCGAAACACCATCCACACCGGAAAACGAGATATCGCTACTTCGACTGCCGGTCTTCATCCAAACGATGGTCGCTGAGATATCTCTTATCTCGAGATACTTGGCCCCGTGGTGGCTGAGATGTGGTGTTGTGAGTGCTGAAAAGTGTTCTGCTTTTCGTGCTACTCCAGAAGCCGCCGACTGCCATCTCCTGCGGCATGGCCATCGTGCCTGTCGTACAGCATCCAACGGCACTGTCAAAGCAATAAGGTATCATGGGTCGCGACTACATTGTGTGTATATATACCTGATATATATGATATCTCTCCCGCTGGGCCAGGACGAGAAGCAGGAGTTGGGCCCTCTGCACATGAAGCCAGTGATGGGCCTTGAGATAGTGCTGAATGTCTGATAGTGTCGGCATTCATTAGTTTCACTTAGTGTCGCGGGTGTCCGTTGAAAGGTCGTATTGACGGAGTGAGGCACAGGCAGATGCATCGTATTCGACTAGTGATCTGTGGCCCGCGGGAGCTGTGCCGGTTGATCTCGCGGCACGAGGCACTTCACGGAATTGACGTTCCATCGTGAAGCCCACAGTCATCTGGAGCGTAGCAGCAGACTAGAAGTGTCTGTCTCTTGTCTGTGTGAGAGAGTATGGACACGATGGTATTGCGAACAATGAGAGAGTGAGAGTGACAGAAACGAGAAAAGTGAAGCAAAAGTCTGTTCTACGCCGTCACAGCCAAGCCGGCCGGCCCAATTAACCGAGAGGCTGATCGAGGGAGACAACAAGCCCACGAGCAGCATGACTGCGTGTACTGGGCAACTCTGTACTTGTAATTGGATAAGTTCCTCTGCGTGCTGTTCACCAACGACGAAGAGTACGACGGCGACGACGACAACTAGCAGTATCAAAACCATGTTCTATTCAGAACGGGATCCGATGCATCGCGATCCATTGACTTAGATGCGCTCAAGACGGTCTCATGCATCGAACGTGCTGATAGACCAAAGCCAAGGTCAAGGTCAAGGTCAGGTTGGTTGACGTTGAGAACATCATCCATCTCCGGTTGTAGAGAAACACGCCCAATCGGGCTTAGCTCCAGCTTCATCTCACCAGATTCGCTCGAATCGCCTTTCTACATCCTTCCCCACCAACTCCCAAGATCTCATTCTCCCTCCCCAAATAGCCCCCAATCGCGAATCTCCAGAGTTGCCATCACCTTCTCCCGAATTTGACACCCCACCAGCAACAACCTCTCGATCTTCATCTTGACATCTTCCCCATCATCCTCCTTCACATCACCACCCTCATCCCCACTGACGCACGGCACATTCACAGTACACAACAAGTCCGTCTCCCACTTCCCCTCCAACCGCACCAACAACAAACACACCCCCACAGCATCCGGTTCATTGGCCCTCCCTCTCATCTTCTCCCCCGGAGGACATGTCGCCAACAGCGTCAAAGCCTTGAGATCTGGCATTTTCGCCAATTTCACATTCTTCGCTTCGATGCGATGCACGATGGTTGTACTCGCGTCCGATTCCACGATGTCCTGCAAATGGAACTTCAACGCTTCCACATCGTCATTCTGAGCATTGTGCACGCGTTCGAGAATGTCAAAGACGATACTGCTGAAGCCGGAGCGGTCGAGGTAGACTTCTTGGTGGTCGGGCACTTGGCGAATTTGGCTATATAGATATTTACATTGTATTGGTTAGATTTGAATTTATTCAATTTTGGTTTTTTTTGGCTTTGCCATGACAAGTCAGGTCATTGCAATCAATTCGGAATTCATTCCAACTCAATCAATATACAGTCTTGCTATGGTCAGGTGATGGAAGATTTAGTAGAGAAGAAAAAGAAAGGGCATACCTGACATCTTCAAATCCCTCTGGAAGTTCCACAACAATAGCTCCTCCGTACAGTTCCACCGATTTGAATTGGAGATCGTCGCTCGCCATTATTCGCAATCTGAGCTTCTTCAATTTTGCCCTTCCTGTCTCGATCAGTCCGCAGTTCTGCTGTGAGTGCCCAACCCGTTGAACTGTTGAGATACTGAAAAGTTGATGCGTAAGTGAAGGCTGATGGAGACTGCAGGATAAACCTTTATGCAGATGAAGATAGTTTGGCAGCTTTGGCTCCAGACAACGCTAGACTTCATCCAGGCAAGCTCGTTGAAACTGTTGCCTGAGGTTCCTGGGGAAGTGAAGGACTACAGTATGAACATAGATGTTACAAGGAGAGAGTTCAGCTAACACCTGACTCCAGAGATGAGGAGGCGTGGTCACAAAGTAGAGGTCGTATCCATCGAGATTTCTTCGATAGTAGTACATTTCATTCATTATGACGGTGCCTGCTACTTGAGCAGAAGCCCTCATTAATGGAGCACGTACGATGCCAAACCTGGGATCTGACGGGGCGGCACCGCTTGAGTCGAGCGACTGTACACTACCATCCTCCGTGCAACATGAGCAGCTTTACCTGATGCGATTCTTCTCGCCGGGGGAGCGAGAGATCGTCGCAAGACTCAAGCATGAACATCTCGTCCAGCTCTTCTGCAACTTCGTGCAGAGGAACACAAGACGCCTCTTGCCATGTTTGGTGCCAAATTTCGGCAACGAGGCAAATTGTGTGCAATTCGTCCTTCCTCCGTTCCCACTGTGAAACTGCATGCGGTTGTGGTGCGTGCGTTTGCACTCCTGACACGGCTTTGCCTCAGCAGGACCAAGGTCAGGCGCAGGATTCTACGCCCAAACATCCTGGCCCACACCCTCGATCCAGTTGCCTAGTCTCTCCACGCCACCGTCCCATTCCTTGAGCCTCGAGCGCATGCCCTCAATACCGGTCCTGTCCAGTACCTTGGGCTGCACCCAAGTTATCCGCGCTATTTCTGCCACCTGATCGATGCTTCCACGCAACAGTCCTAAGCTCAATGCCTTCATGATCAGGTGCTCAATCTCGTCTGGTTGCACTTTCGTCTCTTGGCTGATGGTAGCAAATGTCATGCTGCGGTCTTGCGGCGGACGTGAGAAGACCAGCTGTGTGAGGGCGGCGAGCGAGATCTTCTGGTATAGGAACTGCTGATGCTGCTTGAGTAACGTGTTGGCGTCGAGGTGCTGCTGAAGGATGTTGTAGGCATGGAGGTCGCCACGGTTGAATGCAAAGAGCAAATCGCGGATCCACGCGTGTGGTGTTTTGGCCAGGCTGTCCAGGATGGGGTGGAGCAGGAGCTCTCCAAAGTTGTAGATCGTCTCACTCACCAGAGCAGCTATGGAGAGGTCGTATGCAATGCGCTGGCGATTGCTCTCCGTAACGTCCTTGAGGTCTACGCAAGCAAGGTAAAGGAGCTGTGTACGGTAGTATTTTGCAAACTCGTGCTGGTGCTGGTAGTAGATGGCGCTGACCCAGTAGAAGTTGGCGTGCACTTCCGTCTCAACGGCATCGAATGTGTCGAGCACAGACTCGCACTTGTCCAGATCCTTGCGGGCTTCCTCAATCTGCTTCAGACTGAGCCGTGTGTTTGCAACTGCAGTCAGGGCGTAGACGAAGGCATCTTGCGATGCTGGCTTGTCGACGCGCTTGGATAGTGTGGTGAGGAAAGAGAGGCGTTCCTGATCATCTGCTGGTTTCTTAGCTCGAATGTCCGGCCTCTCACCCATTGACTGCATGGAGCAGGAACATACCCTTGTACTGGCTCGCTGTGCTCAAACCTATTCTCACCAGCTTCAACTGGTTGATCTTGTCTGCAAACTTCTTGACAAAGTGGTCATAGATGGGTATGCGCTGAGACTTGCTCTCAGGCTCGTTGTAGTATGCGACGAGGATGTCGGTGAGTTCATGCCACAACTTGCGCTCCCAGAAATCCTCGAAGCTGAGGAAGTAATGTTGCAGATCGTCAGGAGCATCGTCACGGGCCTGCTGGAGGAAGTCGGCGATCTTCTCGTTGTCGGTTGCCATGGCGGACTGTTACTCTCGCCGCAGAGGGTCGCGGACGATATGGGTTGATGTGGGGCGTGCAGTCTCTGGCAGGGAGAGCTCGGATATGGTGTGTAGAGCTATGGACGTCTCGAAAGGGTGGGAGGAGATGGAAGTGTTGTTGATATCGAGTGGAAAGCGGAAGTTGCTGGTGTATGAGAGAGCATGGCGAGAGCGAGGCAGCTAGGTCTACGTGATGGATGACAGGGCAGCAGAGCCGCATTGTCTTGGCGTCGCCGGGAGAGCTTCACTCCAATCGCAACGACGGCAGATCAGCACACTCCAGTCTCTCCTCCACCTCGCTTTCGCCTTATGGAGTAGAGTGGAATAGACTGGACGACACTCCTTCCGAACACGAATCTCCGTCCCCTCCGCCCTCCGGCCATGGCAGGCCTCTCCACCACCACAATGGCTCTGCAGCGCCAGCTCTGCCGACCCAACGCCTCGCTCACCACTACCAGACTCGCAGCGAGCGCACTCACACCTACACAATGCCGACGAGGGCTGCAGGACATTGCCATCACACGGACGGGCAAGCCGATTATTCGACTGCCGGGCGGACGAAGCTCGTTGGGAGGCCACACGGCGACTGTGTTTGGCGCAACAGGCTTCCTCGGCCGCTACATTGTGAACCGACTGGCACGAGCAGGAAACACGGTGGTAGTGCCCTTTCGTGAAGAGATGGCCAAGCGACATCTGAAAGTGACGGGTGACTTGGGACGAGTCGTCTTCATTGAGTACGACTTGCGGAACAAGGCGTCGATTGATGAGGCAGTCCGTCATTCCGACATTGTGATCAACCTGGTCGGTCGTGACTATCCGACCAAGAACTTTGATCTTGCGGATGTGCACGAGGAAGGCACACGTCGGATCGCGAACGCTGTGGCCAAGTACGACGTCGACCGCTTCATCCACGTCTCCTCCCACTCGGTTGCTCCCGACTCGCCTTCAGAGTTCTACAGGACCAAGTGGAATGGAGAGCAGATTGCACGCGAAATCTTCCCCGAAACCACCATTGTGCGCCCTGCTCCCGCATTCGGCTTCGAGGACCGACTTCTCCACCGGCTGGCCAGAGCCACCAACGTCTTCACTGCAAACAACATGCAAGAACGCTTCCGACCCATACATTCCATCGACTTTGGATCTGCCCTGGAAGTCATGTGTCAGGACGACAACACTGCCGGCCAGACATATGAACTCTTCGGTCCCAAGGAGTACACTCTGAAGGAGATATCCGAACTTGTCGATCGCGAGATGATCAAGAAGCGAAGACACATCAATCTGCCCAAGGCTGTCCTGAAGCCATTGTTTGGAACACTCAACAAAGTGCTATGGTGGCCTACGGGAAGCACGGATGAGGTGGAGCGTGAATTTTTGGACCAAGTCATTGACAAGAAGGCCAAAACGTTCAAGGATCTTGACATTGAGCCCGGTGACATTGCGAACTTCACATACCAATACCTGGTGAGTCTTTTTCTATGCTTTGCACCTTGTGAGACTGTTCCGTGTTGACTGACTGATGCTTCTCCAGCAATCCTATCGCAGCTCCTCATACTACGACCTCCCACCCATGACAGAAAAGGAGAAGCGCGAGGAGAGGAAATATGTCCATGTTCTGGACAATCAATAGACATGTTCTGTCATGGTAACAGATTTCCTCGCGTGTCAGTCACTATAGCTCCTGTATATATGCTACCGTCCAGGACAAGAATTTCCATTTGTTGTTCCCAAATAGGCACTCTCAATGCAGCCTACAAAACCATGTCATATCCCGAATGAAGACATTCCATTCCTTTTATTGCGATGACAATTCTTTTTCAATTAAATTGAGAGGAATAATACCTAATATGTCTACCTATATCAAAGAAAAGGGTATCAAAAGAACACTTCTACACGTCTGACTCCACGCTCGCTCAATTACCTGTATTCCATCCCCATTACATGAACATTTCATCCCATTCTATGCCATTCATTCCATCCGTCCCATCCATCTCCATCCACCCTCCTCTTTCCTCCTTCATCCCAAATCAAAAAGCATAATACTTCCCCATCCCCTTCACCCCCGCACCCACACCTCCTTTTTGAGGTTGTTTCCCTTCCAATAATCCCCTCGACGGAGAAACTTGACGAGAAGGAGCAACAGAAGTAGAAGTACTCCTCGAAGCGCCTTCGTGGGGAGATTTGTTGGTTCCGGAGGAGAAGAAAATGTGAGAGAGTTGTTCGCCGAGTTTGGAACCTGGGAGATCGTTGACTTTGCGGTAGGTTTGGTAGGGTGCTGGAGGCATTTTTTTTTTGTTTTTTGTTTTCTTTTGTGGGTTGGGTTTGGAGTGGGTTTGAGGTCGGGTGGGTGTTGTGTAGTGGTGGGCTAGTGGGTTGTTGTGGTTTTGAGGTTTTGGGGTTTGAGTGATAGGGCGGCTGCTATGCTATCGTGATGTGATACTGCTGCTGCTGCTGATGATGATGAAGGAAACAAAAAACAGAAATCGTCGACCAAGACGACCTGACACTCACATATATATCCTACCAGGTACTATTCACAGTTCATATGAGTACACTTCTCTTCATAAAAAACCGACCCGAAATCCTCGGCATCACATACAACATCCCTCGGATCAGCCAAAAATCCCAACAACGATAATTGGTACCTGCATCTCTCTGCCTAGGTAGAGTAGAGGCTGATCAAACAATCCTACCTTATTAAAAAAATTTACCTTGTGAATGATTTGCAGGTGAGGTTCCCTGTCATCTTGCCACTACCGAGGTTGAAAAGGAATTACCTCCTACTAACGACTATTGCCTATTATTCCCGACAGCTTAAATTGCAAAGGCTTGAAAGGCTTGTATCAATCGTGTGTCGCTTTCGGGTGAACTGTTGTTGGGCAAAGTCAAATTCACGTGTGTTGCATGTGGTTTCCGAGACAGCCCGAAGTCTTTTTTTTGGTTGCAAGTTGTGCAGTGATGAGGTCAAGAATGCATCCTCCACATCATCGGTCGCCGGTGGCTATTTCGAGAATCTTGACGATTAGGAGGTAGAAGGTCGCGTACTTGACCTCGGGTAGTATGAATGGGCCGTGGCACTGTTATTGCAGTCGGCTGGTGGGATCCCAACTCTTGGATTGGATTGGATTGGAATTTGCGTTAGGTCACGATGGTGGTCTCTCGACTCGAAAACTGATACGATGAATGTGATTACGTCTTCCTTGCAACGCCTGCTTTACACCGCTGTTCGAAGTTGCCCTCGCCGACATTCTGTGGACGCCAACGTCCAGCTTCAGCACAATCGAGAAGCTTTGCCACTCCCACTGTGACCTCGGAGCGACTGTCGTGCCTCTCCAGCTCAATCCATCATCTAAACTGATTTCTACCACTTCAATGCCGTCGCCACTCCATGCCCATCCCCAGACCTTTGCATCGAGTGTTGATGTGCCATCTGTAGTGTTTGCTGTTAACAGGATGTCCCCATTCCGAGGGCTGACCATCATCGAGTTCGGCTCCACGTCCCAGACCGGCCTCATTCGTCCACTGCTACTCCTACTCCCTTCTTCTTCTTCTTCTCCTCCTCCTCCTCCTGCTACTCCCGACACCCACTCATTGTAGAAAGTAGTTGTGAATGGGCCAGAACTCCTTTCTTCCCTCAGCTGCAGCGAGCACAACCACTTGGTGCTATTAGTGCCAAACCAGCCCGGCACGACCAAACGTACAGGACCACCGCGCTCGAGGCTGAGGGCTTTTCCGTTCATTTCGTATGCAACCAGCACCTCGGGAGACATGGCTTTGGCCAAGGGAAGATCCTTCTGATACCTGTCGGCCGAGACGCCACCGAAGCTGCCCGAGTCGAGACCATCGGACCATACAAAAGCTGCCTGGGCAAGTGGCTTTGCATGATTGAGCAGGTCGCGCAGACGGATTCCTGTCCATTCTACGTTTCCAATGCGCCAGAGATTGGTGGTAGGAGGTTGGAGTGGGCTGCCATAGCACTCGTGGAAGGACGTGATGGTCGTGCGGGGCAGAGTATACAACTCGGAGAGGGTCAGAGTATAGCTTCGCTCGACGAGACCATGGATTCGGAGATGCCAGAGGCTATGATCCAGATTCGGCCTGCCCATGTGTATGGTTTGGAACAGCTTCCCGTCGTCGGTGATGAACGAATCGAGCTGGTGAGGGGGTGGTGGCGGACGGAGATGAAAGCCTGGTGTCATGGAGAGGCAAGCTCTGCGCTCATCGCTGCTCATATCAGGTTTGTGGACTTGATTTGATATCATATTTTCATCCAGAGAAGATGACTGTGGAGAGTGGGCGTCGAGGTCTTGGGCTGGAGCCATCTTGTCCGTGGCATCTGCATTCTCTCTCGAAATCTTGTGAAGGCCGTCCGAGAGAGGCAGGCCTGTGGCCGGTATCTCAGACTAGGTACCTACCTACATTGCACCTATACCATAACATTCATGGTAGAGGGCCTTGGAGTGAAGGGCACATGCGGAGAAGCTCGGCAAATCGGAAACTCTCCCTCTCTCTGGAGACATCCATATATACATATAATGTTGAATGTCCCATGCGTCTATCAGTCACCTGAGTGCCTGTATATCGCGTAGACGAGGTTGCTCTCGCGTATGATAGACGGGCTCATAGTCAATGCTGTTGTTGTCCCTGAGATTATTCTTCACCCAGAAACTCAGGTTGTGCCAAGACTTTCAATTATTGCACAGACAGTACATGGCAAGAGGTCGAGCTCGACTTATTAGACTTCTCTCCAATGCCTCTCGAAATTTGCCTCTCGACATCAACATGGAAACCGGCATCGACTTTGCTCCTCATCAGATTCGTCGACACCAATGCCAGACACGAGGCGTTTGAGTCGATGATAATGTGCGAACCCCAGAAGCACTGGAGCCCCCCATCACCTGAACCATTATCATCATCAATCCCGTCCATATGAGCCGCAACATCATTGCCGCCTCCTCCTCCTCCTCCTCCACCTCCATCTTCCTCCCTCAGCGATGCGTATGACAGCCGGCGCCCTCGTTGTTGCTTTTCTCGGACTCGATCTGTTTGGCCAGCTGCTGATGACCCAGTGAGTGTCCATCCATCCCACCTCGAGGAAGAACTCGCCCGCCCTAATAATGCCACGCAGGATCTTGTCCCACCATGTGCTCAACGTCTCCAGTGGCCGGCTGAGGACCAGTATATACGATTTCCGTCGGCAACTGCGTCGAAAACAGCACATTGTACCGGGAACATGCTCACTGGTGGAATGCGAAGCGTACTGGTTCGCCGTCGACCAGCGGACCTGTACCGATCGAGCATGTCCTACTCATTATGAGATTGTGGGCTGAGGAGCCACATTCATCATGAGGTGTCCTGCATTCTGCTGCTGCAATACACAAAACTGAGTCTGTAGTACCTCCGTAGGTATGTACATACTGTTGTTCTAGTGTGGATGACTACCTCCTCGACTCCTGAGACAGGAAACAGGAAACAGGAGATGCCTGCCCTGCCCAGACAAACCCAGACAAACCAGAGTCTGACATCACAAGCTGCAGCTTACGAAGCACTTCCCATCCTCAAACGCGTGTTCTCGACTTTCTCTCCTGATACATACATGTACATAGGAGGCATGGTATAACTACCTCACCTCCACATCTCCCCTTTCTCACTCTTCATTCCTTGAGAAACAACCCATATTCCTACCTCCACCATGACATCCTCCCACCCCAACCTGGGCCTATACTTGCAACCGCTCGCCTGCACTTCGACTATACTCCTCGGTCTGCACGGCCTGTCGACCTCCATCTTCTTCGTCCCAGCCCTCCTTCGACCCGTCACCTCCGTTTCCTCCAATGGACCACCATCATCAAGTTCGGGCACCAAAACTCCCACCCTCAGCGTCCCACAAACGCCCATGGAGTCGGGGAGACTGACTCCGCAGACATCCCACAGGGCCTTCGACTTTGCGCTACATTTGGGCAGCTCGGGCACCTACAAAGCTGTTGCGTGCCAGTTTGCGCGCCTTCACTCGCTGAGCACTGCCTACAACGTCCCCCTCGAGACCATCGCCGTCGCCTCCTATGGCATGCTCGCCTATCGTGCTCGAGGAACTGTGATGGGAAAGAGCTGGGCGGCTGCGGGTGCCGTCTTGGTGGGTGTGGACATTCTGAAAGCGTGGTTCATGGCTCCTCTGGCATTAAAGGTGCTCCGAGTTGCGGGAGATGCAGAGCCTGTGGAGCCGTATGAAGATGCGCCCATTGATCGAGAAGCCGAGAAACGCAATACGGTCCAGTTCTTGAGGAAGTGGAATATGTTGAACTTGGGAAGCAGTCTCGTGCTTCTGGGCACCGCCGCCCTTGCTTGGGGTGTGGAGACCTGGTGACGACAGGAATAAGCGGTGATATTCGGACAAGAGACTGCATGCAGGAGGCCCGGCAGGTCAACGGTTCAAGAGCGGGGACACACTACAGACTGGAGCTGGGATACCGATGCACACATGATGGACTACGAGAAGGCCTGCAACGACCAGCTTCGTCCAGAGTCAGGTGGCCATCATCGAAATGCGGATGATCCGTAGCGCGTGTTGCAATCTCCTCGTTCGCTCACCGAGACAATAGTAGTGGTCCGGATATCTGTCCATGGCGACGCTAGTGTTCGACCAAGGCCAGCGAGACGGCTGCAAAGGAACGTCACGGAGACACTCGTGATCAGACACTACAGCTTCCTCCTGCCCCTAGACTTGGCCTGCGTTAGAGATAAGAGAGTGTGTGACAGGATCGGTTGACAATCTGCAGCATTCCTCGCACTAGTTGGTGGTCCGCCAAGAGCTGCAGTCACAAGTCAGTCCCGTCAGCCAGCGATGCGAGCAAAAAGCACTGCTAGCAACATGGTGTACGAGAAAAAGTGAGATCAAATCAGACGACGGGGGAAAAGTGTGAAAAGCGACAACAAAAGGCTTGGTATTGTGCCTCGCCCGTTGCTGGACGAAGAGGGAGTACACACACAATGCGTTGTGCATGTCCTGCAATCTCAAGACAACAAAATGATTAACATTAACCTCAAGTTGATAGTAACCATGTGCCAAGTAAAAAAAAAGGAAACATCTTTACACCCTCCCGTCCTCTCTTTCCACTACTACCACCTCACTTCCTCTCCTTTCCATTCCCCCCAAAAGACTTCAAAAGGACATTACGCTAAGAGATATAGAAGAGAGGGCCAGGGTTTTCGCACAGTCGGATCATGAATCGTGGGGGGTTTTTTTTCTTCAGACTTCCTGTTCACCTGTTCGTCGTAGTAGAAGAGAGAGATAGAGAGGGAGAGGGCGAGAAGTGTGTCCTCTCTTTTATGCAGTGAATTCGAAAGCTCGCTTGGGGATGAAACTGCCCACTACTCCGCCCATGGGGTTGTGGTCCGCTTCGTCGTCCTTGGCTCCTGCGAACATGTCACCAGGGCCCAAGGGGCTCGAGTTAGGCGCGAACGGGTTGAATGGATCCTGCGACTGGGATTCGTCTGTGAGGGGTCAGGGTCAGTGGTGATTCCTTCGTGTTTTTCGAGTAATGTAGGTTGTGTGTTTGTATCATGAGAGTGGAGTACACGTACCATCGGTGTCGACATCGAAGATCAGACCTGGGAAACCGGGTGGTGGAGGGAAATCGGCTCCGGGGAATCCGGTTGGGGTCGACGGGGTCGACGGTACCAAGCCGGTACCGTAGCCATCTGTAAGATACAGATGTCAGATGGGGTCGCTCAGAGTATATGGGGATCTCGAGTGGTGGCTTACCTGGTACAAATGGTGATGGAGGGGACAAGCTGCTACCGTAGCCTATGGAGAGTGTCAGTCGTACATGACATTGGCAAGGAGAAGGGGGTAATCGTGAGCTTCTTACCATGTGGGAGGAGATCGCTCTCGGTGATAGTGTGGTCGCTTGAGCTACCTGAACCGCCCCATGGTGGAACTGATGTCCTGTCAGCACAATTCTCATGTCCGTCCACCACAAAAGGGAACGCGTGACTCACATTGTTGAGGACCGACGGGACCGGGTACTGGACCACCTGGGAATGTTAGCAAAACAGCTTCGCACGACGTATGAAGAACACGTACCAATGCCTCCGCTGCCATATCCTGGCTTCGTCGGTGGCATCACAGGATCAGCAGGAGGCATACCGCTGCCGTATCCAGTTGGCTTGGTGGGTGGCATCACAGGATCAGTAGGAGGCATGCCGCTGCCGTATCCAGTTGGCTTGGTAGGTGGCATCACAGGGTCGGCAGGAGGCATGCCGTAGGTTGGTGGTGTCATAGGAGGCGGGGAGACTGGCGACTTCGGTGGCATCGATGGCTGAGGAGGCGGTCCGGGAGGAGGCACGCTGCCACCGTATCCAGGAGGCTTAGTGGGTGGCATTACAGGATCAGCCGGTGGCATGCCGCTGCCGTATCCAGTTGGCTTGGTGGGTGGCATCACAGGGTCAGCAGGAGGCATGCCGTAGGTTGGTGGTGTCGTAGGAGGCGGGGAGACTGGCGACTTCGGTGCATCGATGGCTGAGGAGGCGGTCCGGGAGGAGGCACGCTGCCACCGTATCCAGGAGGCTTAGTGGGTGG